TCATTGAGAATCGAAACACAACCTCAACGTCTGGAATACACTTTGATGAATTCCCTAGTATTCTATTTCTTATATATATATATATATATATATATATATATATATATATATATATATATATATGCTATATTATTTATTTATTATGTATTTTATTTTAGAGAAATTGTTAAAAATGCCCCTTTTTCAATACCCCTTTTCAAAAATGCCCCCTTTGAGAGTCCATTTTTAAGTTTGCCCTCTTTTAATTTTTAATGACCATTTTACCCTTATTTGAAACAAAATTAGGTCCACAAAATACAAAATATTTTTTGGCGCGAAAAGTGATCCCGCAATTTTCTCGCCAAAACACTTGTAAAAACCTTTAAAATACCTTGTAAAATTTTCCCGTAAAAATTTTTCCCGCCAAAAAATTTTTTTTGCGGGAAAAGTGATTCCGCAATTTTTTTGGCGGGAAAAATTTACAAGGTATTTTAAAGGTTTTACAGAGTATTTACAAGTGTTTTGTAAGGTTTTACAATGTATTTTAAAAGGTTTTACAAGGTACTTATAAGGTTTTATAAGGTATTTATAACTTGTAAAACCTTATAAAAAACTTGTAAAACCTTATAACTTGTAAAACCTTATAAAATAGCTTGTAAAATCTTATAATATCTTATAAATACCTTATAAATACGTTGTAAAACCTTTTAAAATACATTGTAAAACCTTATAAATACCCTGTAAAAAACTTTTAAAAAACCTTGTAAATTTTTCCCGCCAAAAATTTAACGCCAAAAATTTTTTTTATCACTTTTCCCGCAAAAAAAAATTTTTGGCGGGAAAAAATTTTACGGGAAAATTTTACAAGGTATTTTAAAGGTTTTACAAGTTTTTACAAGTGTTTTGGCGGGAAAAATTGCGGGATCACTTTTCCCGCCAAAAAATATTTTGTATTTTGTGGACCTAATTTTGTTATATTTCCTTATATATTTGTGATATCTTTTATTAAAAGAAGGGTAATTTAGTCATTTAGTACATAAAAAGGGGTATTTTTAAAAATGGACATCCAAAGGGGGCATTTTTGAAAAGGGGTATTAAAAAAGGGGCATTTTTGTGAGTCTCCCTTTATTTTATGTAAAATCCCCTTGAGTTTTTGTAACTCCTTTTTATCCTAGCTTAGTTTAAGTCTTTGTAAGTCTTTTGTGTGTTTCTTTGATCATTGTGGATTCGATCCCTAAATACTAGCAATTGTATGTGCACTTGCGATCGATATTAAGGGTAAAATGCCACTAGATTTTAGAATTAAACTTAGTCCATGAATTTTTTTTATTTGCTTTATCTATACTAGTATTTTTGCAACACTTTGGTGACAGGTGGGTAAAAATGCTCTCGGGTTATTTGGATATCCGACCCGTTTCAAAAAATCCTTCACAAAAAATTTGTTGGGTCGGGTTATATTTAACCCAACTCATACACCGGATATTCTATATTTAATAATTTAGATTTTTAGAAGATTTGATTAAGATTTAGAATTATGATTCTCCTATCATCTTTGTTTGATTTGTTTTTAACTGTTTTGAATCATCATATAATACATAAAGTAAAAAAAAAATCAATTTTTTTTTCTGCAATACTGTGATTCGAAATTCTAAAAACGGACATATATTATCTAATTGACGAAAATGTGTGTTCAACGTTCTACATCGATTAAAATATTTAGACAATGATTCAGAATCATATCATAAATAAGATCAACATTAATAAAATAAATGAGTTTTTTGGCTAGACGGGTTTGGCGGGACGGGTTTTTGAATCAACAATAATAAAAGATTAAAATATCATTAATCCGCCGCTTCAATACGGATTAAATCTTTTTTTTTTTAATACCACCAATATTAGACATATTAAATCAGTCTCATTTAGAAAAGAATATATAAAACCAAAAATTGTCCCGTGGTATAATGTTACTTAATAACAATATTTATAAAATTTTAAAATATCATTAACATGCCGCTTTAATACATATTAAATCTTCAGTTTATTAAAATATAAATGTCTTAGAGAATGATATGATTTGTAAACTTTTATATATAATAAATAATCATTAAATTTTAAAATAAAAACAAATCACGGGACGGGTTTAGAAATTACGGAACGGGTTATATTTCGGAAAGGATTTATATGGCGGACGAATTTGAATCAATATTTATATACCGCTTTAATACGTGTTAAATCCTCAGTTTATTAATAATTGTCTTGTGGACTCGTGGTATACCGTTACTTAATAACAATTGTAAACTATAATATAAATAAATATGTTATAAGGAGATACAATTTACAAAATATTTTTATACTAACTTTAAAATTAAATCATCTCGCGGTGTACCGCGGGTTAAAATCTAGTATTATTATATTCTATTTACTAATTAAAAACCTTCTCTTGTTTCTATGTATTTCAGGTAAATGCAAACAAGGTGAAAAGAATATTTCAATTTAGTTAACCCTGCAAACCTGAAACTAGCTAGAATCGAGAGAGAAGACAACAAATCAAGGAGAAGCAAAAAAACACGAAAGAATCAGACGGCGATACTTTGAAATTGCATAAAACTTAATTTATAGTGAGTAAAATTAAGTTTTAACAACATCATCTTTTAGAAGTAATTTATAGTGAGTAAAATGGGAAAATTCCCCAAAAAAACTCAAAGTAATTTTTATTTGGATGTTTAATACCCAATTATTTTTAATTGGATTAAAAATACCTTAACTAATTATTTGTGGTCTTAAAATACCTCGTATATAAACTATTGGTAGAATCAAACCCGCACGTTAACAACCGTTAACGGACGTAAAGGAAATAACTAACGGGGTTAAATATCATTCTCGTATAATTTAATCTATATATATAATCATTCTCGTATAATTTAATCTATATATATAATCTGGGAAAATTCCCAAAAAAAACCTAAAGTAATTTTTAGTTGAACGTTTAATGCCCAATTATTTTTGATTGGAATAAAAATACCTCAACTAATTATTCGTGGTCATAAAATACTTTGTATATAAACTATTGGTAGAATCAAACCCGCACGTTAACAGCCGTTAACGGCCGTAAAGGAATTGACTAACGGCGTTAAATATCATTCTCATATAACTTAATCTATATATATAATCTGCTCTTATAATTTACGAACGTTTTAACGTGGTCCAGTGGAATAGTGCGGCTTACTCAATATGCGCGACCCGGGTTCGATACCAGTAGAGTCAATTTTTTTTTTTTTTTTTTCTCTTCTTCTCCTTTGCCGATCTCTGTTTTTTTTTTTTTTTACTCTCCTTCCCCGTCGTTGACCACCACCGTCCCAGAAATAATACTTCATCCAACCCATGAATAAGAACCTCCAATTCCTCTTCCAAATCGAGTAACAAATCGGTACACTCACACCATCAACCATCACCCTCGTATCTCCAACCATCATTTCACTCACCAAGCCTTTACAAACCCTAAACCTCTCATCCCTAATCGCAGAGGAGGATAATTAAGAATCCCCAGCCCCGAAATCAACCTCCAATTGTAGCTATTTGAATTTGAATTCCCAATTTTCAGATAAGAGGAAGGCGAAGAAGAGAAGAAGAAGAAGAGAAAAAAAAAAAAAAAAAAAAAGGAAGACAAAATTAGCTATGAGGACAACTCGAACCCAAGCTTAGCACTTACCGTTTACCACTAGACCACAACAACTTATTCGCAAAACTTTGTTAAACGATTGTATATATTAATTAACATATTTGAGTTTGATATTTAACGCCGTTAGTTAAATCCTTTACGTCCGTTAACGGCTGTTAACGTGCGGGTTTGATTCTACCATTACTTTATATACAAAGTATTTTATGACCACGAATAATTAGTTGAGGTATTTTTATTCCAATCAAAAATAATTGGGCATTAAACGTCCAAATAAAAATTACTTTGGGTTTTTTTTGGGAATTTTCCCTATATAATCTTCTCTTATAATTTATCAACTTTTTAACGTGGTCCAGTGGAATGGTATGGCTTACTCGATATGAGCGACACGGGTTCGATTCCATTAGAGTTAAATTGGTTTTTTATTTTCTCTTCTTCTCCTTTGCTGATCTCTTTTTTTTTTTTTTTTTACTCTCCTTCCCCGTCGTTGACCATCACCGTCCCAGAAATAATACTTCATCCAACCCATGAACAAGAACCTCCAATTCCTCTCCCAAATCGAGTAACAAATCGGTACACCCACACCATCAACCATAGCCCTCGTATTTCCAAGCATCATTTCACTCACCAAGCCTTTACAAAGCCTAAACCTCTCATCCCTAATCGCAGAGGAGGATAATTAAGAATCCCCAGCCCCGAAATCAACCTCCAATTGTAGCTATCAACTCATTTGAATTCTCAATTTTCAGATCTGAGGAAAGCGAAGAAGAGAAGAAGAAAAAGAGAAAAAAAAAAAAAAAAAGGAAGACAAAAATAGCTATGAGGACAACTCAAACCCAAGCTTACCACTTACCGTTTACCACTAGACCACAACAACTTATACGCATAACCTGATTAAACGATTGTATATATCAATTAACATATTTGTATTTAACACCGTTTGTTAATTCTGTTACGTCCGTTAACGGCTGTTAACGTACGGGTTAGATTCTGCTAATAGTTTATATAGGAGGTATTTTATGACCACGAATAATTAGTTGAGGTATTTTTATTCTAATCAAAAATAATTGGGTATGAAATGTCCAAATTAAAATTACTTTGGGTTTTTTTTGGGAATTTTCCCTGAGTAAAATTATGTTAAAACTTAAAATACTACCCGGTGATATTTTGAAAGTTAAAAATATAATTTTCCGAAACCAAACTGATACAGAAGTAACAGTTAAAGTCCAGAGTTAATGAGCCCATATAAGAAATGCAAAAAGAAAGAAAAAAAAAAAAAAGCCTACTAAGACAAATGTGACGGCGTCGTTTTTCGTATCTCAAAATAAGGAAATATATCCTTCGAGAGCAAACAGAGCTTTCTAGGTTTTTTCTCTTACTCTGCAATACACAGCAATGGCGGCGAGAGGTGCTTTGCTTCGATACCTTAGAGTCAACGTCAATCCAACAATTCAAAACCCTAGAGCATGTGCACTTCCTTTCTCCGTTCTTCTTCGCCGTTTCTCCGAGGAAGTTAGAGGCTCTTTTCTTGACAAATCTGAGGTCACAGATCGCGTTCTCTCTGTCGTCAAAAACTTCCAAAAAGTTGATCCTTCAAAGGTAAATTTTTCTTCGATCCGACCCATTTCTTCATTTTCGATTGTATTGCGACGAAATTGTGTAATTCGTAGTGATTCTAGTATTTTACTTGTTGGGTTGATGAGTAAAAACCTTTAGAAAATGAAGCTTATTTGGATTATATATGATTAGATGAAGAAAAAAGCTTTGATTTTGAAGATGGTATTTAGTGTTTATTTCATTGCCATTTCATTGGCCTGAGTAGAGAGCTTTAGGCTTCAGCATTTTTTTTTTACTTGCAAAAAGAAAGGAGAAAATTTATTGCCTGTTTTGGATGATTGTGGCTGTGTAAAATAAGCTCACATATTTGTTATGTGTTTGAGTATCTCCATTGCATCAATTTGTATAGCCTTTTCCTCATGTTAAATGCTCTCTTTTTCTTCTTTTGTGCCTTATGGAGATATTTTCGCTTAGGAGCAGCCAGCAATGCATATTTCTCACAAGGGTTGGAAACTATTAGTGAGGCCTATGTAATATTCTTTAGAGATGAATAAAAAGGCACTTCTTTTCTTTTGTATTTCTGGGAATTCATGTTTTCTCCATGCCATGTTTGATTAGTTAAGCTTTCCAAGCATCACAATCTTGTAGAAGAGGAGTAAGAAAATTTTGGTTTGATGAGCATGCATTATGTGTAATATCTAGAAGCTTTTGAGAAGTTTAGCTGAGTGATCATTTGTGCATTTTCTTTTACTTGTAGACTGTGTTTTGGGTGTTTATATAGTGCTTCTTAGCTCTCTAGATCAGCAACTCAAAAACAAACTAAAGTAATTGCATTTGTTTCATCTTTAGAGACTTAATCTGATCTAATCAATTGTTTCCTATATCCGAAGTTTCAGGCTCCAAATTTCAGTGCCTTTTAGTAGTCTTGAACTCTGTACTAATCCAATTTGTACTGTTGTTGCAGGTAACACCAAAAGCCCATTTCCAAAATGATCTTGGGTTGGACAGTTTGGACAGTGTTGAAGTTGTCATGGCATTGGAGGAGGAATTTGGGTTTGAAATCCCTGATAATGAAGCAGACAAGATCCAGTCGATCAATCTAGCCGTTGATTTTATTGCTTCTCATCCTCAGGCTAAGTGAAAAGAGAACTAAATTCTTCAGCGTTCATGCGTGCCTCAGCTGTGTTTACAGATTTGGTTAAAGCCTAATAAGAAGAAGTAAAGAAGCAAACAACATTTTCTTTTTGTCATGAGAATGGAGAAGCTTTTGTTTTTGGCACTACTACTCTGGTTTCATAAGTATTAGATGTGTTTCTGCATGAATTACGAGGTATTTCAAGGAACTTTGTTTTACTTGATTTATCTTATTAGACGCATCAGACACTCATTGCATTATTAAACGATCCCTTCAAGTATCGCAGGCTCGTCTCTCATAAAAATCCTCTTTCCTTTATTAGCATTCAATTAAATGGAACATACATCAAGTTAAAAACTATGCAACACAGAGTAAATGTTATAATCTACTACAAAACTCTACAATAGCAAAAGAAAAACAACAGTTGGTAAGAAATACAGTATACTCTTTTTGGGTAAAGTTCTCTTTTAAAATATTTGGACACATTTATAGTCAAACAGTTTCCTGCAACAAGCTTCAAATTCAAAGGAAGCTTCTTTGGAAATTCCCAGAAGAAAACTTGGAAGCCAAACCTTCAGCCATACCCTCGGCATCAAGTTTCACATTCTGTCTCCCGGCAGTAAGATCGTTTTCACGGTCCCATGGCTTCCACGGATGTTTCCCTACCCACTCGTCCTTCTCGGTTTTCTCTTTGGATGATGACAATTTCTTCTTCTTCTTCAGACGGCTTGAAGAAGAAGAAGAGTCTTCTCTGTGCTTCTCTACCAGAGACTTTGCTCTTTTCTCTTTGTTATACTTGTCCACTAGCTCAGCATCCATGCTTCTTTTCATATTTTCTCCTTCGTTTGATGCAAGCGCACTCGCCTTGTTGTATGCCTCCAAATAACTGATAAGAACACAGGAAAGAACAAATATAAGAACAAAGCTATGTAACTTCCACCAAATGACCAAACCTTTGAAAAAATCCACTCATCCCATCAACAATCTGCAGAGACAGCTCTATAAATCCATCCCTAACTAATGGCTATCTAACCAACTCACAATAACTACAATTGCTGCATTCAGTCCTAGGCTAGCTATAGTTGACCTTTAGCTTAAGTTTGAGCAGCTGAACTTCTTTAAAGAGAACCAATGTGTTTTGCTTTTATGACAAAACAACCTCGTGAAATGTAGTTAACAAGTGCGGTAAGGTTGAAAAATTAGTGTGTTCTTACTTCATCTTTGCTCTTTCAGCTTTGTCCATAGGAGTATCAGTCCAGGCTGTAGTGTCTCCACGTCCTTCTCTAGCATTTCTGCTAAACGTAGTTGATTGCTGCACGGCCACTCCAACCTGCGAAAGAAGAACCCCAAATAAGATTTAAAATTTGAACCCTATCCAATAATTCAAAAGCGTTTTCAATCAATTGTGGATCTCTCACCTTTCTTTCAGGAGGCAGAGTGGTCATCCACTCGTCTCTTTTAGGTACAGGTTTAACTTCGGTTGCTGCCAGCAGCTCAGCATCACCTTCCATTGATATGCCTGCAAACCGGAAAAAATCTCCATAACTATTTCATCCCATAAAGGCAAAGAGATTTAGGAGCCTGAATGACAAAGTGATTCATCATCACCTTGTGATCTTCTCCATTGTGCTGCTTCTTGCATTGAACGTAATTCAACCTGCATGGTAAATATACCGGGTTTTTGTAAGTAATGCCAACCGATTTATTCCGAAAGACTACATATATCAATCTGGCAGAATTACAAACCTTAAATGCCTCTTGTTCTTCCTTAAGTTTAATCTTGTCATCCATTGCTTTTCTCTGTAGACATAAATACATTAGAGATATAAAAAGAGGGCAATAAAGAGATGATGGATGGCCACATGATTCAGTAAGTCTCTAAGAGCATATTAAAAAATAATCAGACAGTAGATGATTCATTATCTCACCTTTTCTGGATCTTGTAATTCTTTGAAAGCTTTATTTAGTAAGACAAAAGCTTCCTGGGCTTGGGGATGAGAACATTTGTCTGGGTGAACAAGAAGAGACAGCTTCCAGTACCTATAGACCAGAATTGTCTATATGAATTATGTAACTGATTATTTAAAACAGTGTAAAACGATTGAGAGCAGTTATTGAGTGAATAAAAGTCATTTTTCTCGATTGCAGAAGTGTAACAGAATCCATACCTCTTCTTCATATTATCAGCAGCCATATTGTGATTCACTCCTAAGACATCGTATGGACTATCAGCGTCAGCTTCCATAATCCTGGTCACCTGTTAATGCAAGAAGTATGAGTTGGTATCTAGCGAATACGCTATCCATAAACTTTGTAAAACAAAGAAGTGTATATCTAATGCCAGAAGGAAAACTAAGAACCTCTTCAAATCGCTCTGCCTCATTTGACGATGCAACTTCTGCAACAACAGCTGGTGGAGCAGGTCCAATGAAATATTCTGAATCTTCTTCTAGCTCAGCTTCTCTAAAGCATTTGAATGAATACTTATTAAACGGATTATACCATATAAAATAACAGACGTTAATCAATTGAAAGTACCTAAGTTCAGCTTGAGCTTCTGTTAGCTTTGCTGCTGCAGCAAGTAACTCAGCCGATGGCATTGCAGGTCCAATCACCCTACAATCAAATTATAACACCATCATGTTTCATCCTCTAGAGTCTAGACCAACTTTAAGATCTAATCTAATAACCAATTAATATCAAGCACACTAGAATGAACCACAAAGAGAAAGCAAGAATCACCTTTTCTTTGGACCAGCAACATCATCAGCTGAAGTCGATCCCAAACCGTTCTCATCTGGCGTACCCTTCTCAGTGTTCTTCAATGGGGCAGAATCATCAAGGTTTTTCTCAACTTCTTCTTCGCCGCCTTTTATAAGATGCCCCACTACATCTAAAGAAGGAGAAGCACCGGGTGGCAATAAAAAGACTCTATCCCCACGTTCCTTAAACTTCAAAGCAAGAAACAGCTTCTTCAACCCCTTCTTCAATGCGCTCTCGGAAATACCCTTTATATCAACCGCTTGCCCATCATCTATCATTTTCAAAAGCTACAAAAAAATGTATAAAACTGGAAACATCAGAACATCAAGACATTGGACGCATAGCACTAGCTATGAGTTCAGGGTTCACCACAAATTCCACTACTCATAAACCTAACCTATCTAGAGTAAAGAAGAATCACATCACCTGTTTCAAATCATTGCCAACATTAGGAAACTCCAAAAGCATCTCCTTTACCACAGTTTCAGGATCATCCTCTTGATCAGAGAATGAATCAGAACCAGAGTAAGACTCAGTATCCGACTCATAATCACGCTTCTTAGTCTTCTTCTTCTTATTCTTCATATCTCTCCTCTTTCTCTCCTTCCTCTCAATCTTCTTCCTCTTCTTCTCCTTCTCCCTCTTCCTCCGTTTCTCTCTCTCATAACTTCCTCCGTCACTCTTTCGCCGCTCCTTTTGCTTCTTCCGCCGCTTTCTAGAAGACGAATCAGACTCGTCGGAGCTGTATGACGAAACAGACGACGACGATGTTCCTGAAGATGGAGTATCGTCTCCTGAATCAGCATCTCTCTTCCTGTGCTTACCCATTTTCAATCCCTGAATCAGATTTTCCAAAACCAATCAAGAGCCAAAAATCCCTCAATCACCAAATTGAAACGTGTAAATAAGCTATTACCTGTTCTCCACTCCTCCGGCACCGTTTAGAACGAGAATTAACTTTCCGGCGGAGTATTCCGTCGTAAATGTCTGTTTGTTCGCCTTTAGGTCGTCGTTGTCTACAGTCTGCTCGTGGAAGAAGAGATGAGCGAAGATCGACACAGGAAACTACGTCGTTTAGGATTTAAAAACTAGCAAAAATAAAAATAAACCGGTTTAGTTTACATGCTATGGGCTATTTTTTAAATTGCTAAAGGCCCGTTTAGGCCCGTTTAGGCCATTTTATAAAATTACAATCCTAAAACATTTAATAAATTAACTAGGACCGGATGGACGGATTTAATTGTTTTTAGTTAAAAACAAATTTAGTTATAAATAAAAATTACCTCAAAAATTAAAAATATAGAACTGTTTTAGTTAGAGAAAAATTTATTTATATATTCGTTATTTTGTCTTAATACAGTAATTTACATTTCGGGGGGTATTGAAACAGTGATTTTTTAAATTTTTGGTTTTTTGTTAAAATCACATGTTATTCAATTAGTGATTTTAAAATCTCTTCCCAAATTTCATGTTATTGAAACTGGAATTTATATAAAATCACTTCTATTAATTCCAAATCTCTTGTTATTCAATCAAGAATTTATAAAAACCATAGTAAATCCACTGTTATTCAAACTTGACAAAAATTTTTAAGAAAAATACTGAAAATAGATTTGGAGAGACTTTGGACACTTTTTTAGTGCAAAAATAATAACAAAACAATACCACCTCTAGAGGTGGTATTTGGTTAAAAAGAAAATCCACAAAAAGCATACTAACGACCACTTTTTCTCTTGGATCAAGAATCATGTCTACGGCATCTTTCCACTCTCCCTTCAATAGTGCAGCTCCAACATGGTGGGTTGGTACTGAACCACTTCCAAAACGCTATCACACATACAAATGTGAGAAGTTGGTCTTACATTTTCAGACATCATAAGCAAAACATAATCCATCATGTTTTCAAAGCAAGGCTCTCAATCTGTGTCTTACCTTATAATTGTATGTTCTTATCTTTTCTGAACGAGCTCCAGTCCCAACCTGTTTCAGCAAGAATCGACATAGAGCAGAATAAAATGAATACTCGATGATGAACTTGTGTTTAGAAAGACTGTGCATAGCAAAATGAAATGGACCTGAGATTTCCTTTCATTCCGTATCTTCTCTTGTTGTTCCCTTACTTTTATTTCATACCTATATATATACAAATATAATGTATCAAAAAGAGAGGACTAAGGTGGGACTTGATAGAGGAAGAAGAAGAAGAGCAGAGAGTTTGCTCCTTGAATGTTGCTTACAGTTTTGCTCGTAGAAGCTGGAAAGCACATTTATTAATAAAAAGAGGAATGTCGTTGACTTCTTCTTTTTTTTTTTACTAAAATTCTCCCAAATCCTTTCAATTATCTCACCAAATCACTAATGATTTTTCTTTTTTTTAAAAAAGAAATCAAACAAATCAACCCAACCATCCTAAAATTTTACTCAAATCACTTCAAAACCTAAAATATAGAAATTCCACCAAACCCTTCCAAATATTTAATTCAATACACCCCCCTTCTATACTTTAAATTTATTGTAACGTTTATTATAATAATCTAGTAAAGTTAAATTATTAATTACCAAAGTTTTGCTAAATATTTGTCATTATTGCCCAAACGTGATTTTGCATTCTCGCCAAAAATAATTTAACAATTTTCTTTTAAAAAATTTTAAATGCAAATTTTTTAAATCGTCATCTTATTTACATATATTAACCAATTTACAATTTACTTCACCACTAAAAAAATGTATTTCCGGGTTGGGAGGAGACGGTAGCTGCGATCATAGGACTTACGGGGGATACCAACAGAGACATCCTACTCCGGCTTTGCTTCCAAGTGACAATTTACTCCATTTGGCGAGAACGGAACGCTTGGATTCACGGTACCGGCTACTTGACAACCCAACAAATTAAATAGTTCGAAACATGGAGAAGCTTACTCGCAACCGAATCTCCTCGCTTGATTTCAGCAAACCCACAACTCTGCCAGCTAATGCAACGCTGGTTCATGGTTCGCCCATAACCTCTCTTGCAAGAAACGTAGCCAATCGTCTCTAGCTCTGTTTTCTCTATTTATGCATGGTTCAATTGGTCTCTCTGTTTTATAAAGACCTCTGTTTTTTTGCATTCTCGTAGTTGATACTATATGAGGTTTGTACATATACCTTTCAGTATCCGTTTAATTAATTACACATTTAAACAAAATAAAAAGTGTATTTACATCCAATTATTTTTTATCGTTGAAGTATGCTCCTAATCACTTGTAACACCCCAAATTTGAAGAAAATGAAGAATCAGATTTTGGGTTAAATTATTCAATTTAAAACTGTCGGATTGCAGGAAGATTTCTGATCGATTCAAAAGTTTGAACCAAAATCTATGAATAGGCAAAAGTTTGAGGACTAAAGTGCAAAAGAAGAAAATTAGGGATACACTCGAGTTTATGCTTTCCGAAAACGAAGGGAGAGTTATTGGCAACTTAAATCTTGATCTTTCAACCCTGATGTTACGTATATATATGCGTTTTGAAGCCCCAAAGATTTAGATGCCTATTCTCTTGTCAATTGGAGATTTTTGGTGAGTTTCCAGACCCTTCCTCATCAACTCCGATTTGAAAATTGTGGGCATCTTGTGATCAAATTTTGTTGTGGCTTAGGTTGATCGTGCTTCTCCGTATGAGTGCTTTAGTTCTGGGTTGTTTTCAGCTTTGGTAGAAGAATTTGGTAAGTCTCATCTTCTTCCTTCTTCAATTTTTCTCCATGGAAGTGAATTTCAAACTCTTTAATGGTGGATTTCTTTTTAGGAAGAATTAGAACTCGATCTATAACTTGTTAGAAAGCTCACGTTCCTAAGAATCCAATTGGCCTCTTAATACAGTTGTGACAAATAGTTATCATCAATATAAGTTCTATTATATAGCATATGGTCGGAGAATATATGATCTTTTTTACCACTTTTTTACCTAAAAAAAAGCTTTACAACTAGAACGAAGTTGAAGCAATAGTGGTGTTTTTGAAGTTTTTTTTGTGTTTTGTGAGAAAATATGAGACTATCTATTTTTTTATATAGAGGTGAGTATATAGAATTATTTTTCTTCTAGGATTAATAATTAATTTTATAATTTCCTTAATTAACTTATTTTATTAATTAATTGTATAATTTCTTAAATCTTTTTTTAAAATTTTAAAGAAAAGTAATATTTTTCTTTCAGAATTAGTAACTTTAAATTAGAATTAGTAAATATTTTTTTAATTTCTATTTTTATATAATAAGATACAAATAGATTCCTTATAATTATCTTTTTTTACATTTTTAATTTTTTTTTATGTAACATATGTATAGTTTCCTTGTAATTATCTTCTTATATTCTCTAAATTTTCTAAATTATAGTTTACAAATATCTTTTTATATTTTTAAATTTTATAAAAGAAAATTTTTACATGCCTCTAAATTGGACACATGGCACGATCCTATGAGATACTAACGTTGAAAACCATACTTTATATAATAAGATAATTTTGATCGATTATTCCTACTAAAATTTTGATATATTATCCCAATTTTTCTCCTTTTGCACTTTAGTCCTTATTACAATAATATATCAAAATTTTATTCTAAAATATATAATATATAAATTTTGTACTAAATGAAATTCAACCCGTGCTATAGTACGAGTAATGATCTAGTGAACAGACAAATCAATACAATAAAAACAACAAAAGTCTCTCCAGTGCTGACACCTCAGCTTTTTGGAGTGTTCTGAAAGTGACACCTCAGTAAAATCGAAACCCAGTCAGAATATTTCAAATAATACAGCTCAGTTTTGTCTTCCAGTAATATCATTCTATTTTTCCACGTACTCTTTCTGATCAAATTTCAAAATAAATATTTGTTTAGGCCCAACCAAAGTAATAGCCCACTTAATAACCAACTTTTTTTTTTTGACGTCTGAATTTATTATTTATTGCAAATTATGAGAACTGTTACATAGACGATTCTACAACGGACAATTCCTTCCGACCCTTATTAGATCCACGCATACGACACTTCTTTCTTCATGCTCTTGATAGATACCTTCGATGATTCACGACGTGACGACACTTCCTTCTCTACGTAGAATCTTGGCGAACGGCTATAATTGTACATCGCTGGAGATCTCATGCACACTTGTCTCCATTAATCTGCAAATTGGTAAATAAATCGCAGTATCTGGGACTCGAACCCCAGACCTCTTGGTGTAGAAGCATTAATTAACCCTTAGTCAACCAATGGGCCAAGGGGGCTTCCACCTTAATAACCAACTTACAAGACAAAAATATCTAAAACCCTTGGATTTTAAAAATGTCGTAGGTAAACCTCGGAAAATAACTCTACTGCCGGCGACCGATCTTTCCACCGTGGAATCGTGGTTGCCTCGCCGTACAGTCTCTTCCAATTGTGAAACCTCTGCTGCTTATGCCTCCGCTCCTGGCCGAGTACATAATGGTTTGTTGATATTGTAGATAGCTAGTGGAATATGAGCAGACACTGTAGGGGCAAAAGGGTTCTTGGCTTCGGCGTTATCTGGTGGTCAATCGCCACAATTCTCACTCCTGTAGCTGCTAAACTCGGCCTTCCATACTTGCTTGTTGTTCGTGCTTTCATGGGAGTTGGAGAGGTTTGTTAATTGTGATTACTTTTAATGATGTTAGATATCAATCTCGGATTTGTGTATGTCGATAAGGAGAAGTTAATCTCATTGGTGTTCTCCAGGGTGTTGCAATGCCTGCTATGAACAATATATTGTCGAAGAGGGTGCATGTGCAAGAGAGAAGCAGATCACTCACGCTTGTTTACAACGGAATGTACCTTGGATCTGTCACCGGTTTAACAATCTTCTCTACCGGTTAATTAATTTGGTTTATGTAAACCGTTTTCTTTTGTTGGTTTGGATACAGAGCTGTTGAGTATCTCCACGAGAGTTGTCGTCCTCCGGTTATCCATAGAGATATTAAGTAGTCAAATATTCTATTTGATTCTTCCTTCAACGCCAAGGTAAATAACTTGAATCATTGTTGATGATTCTGTTGTGAATTTGTTTCCTACACTAAAACAGAAACTGTTTTAAAATTAACAAAAGGCATGAATTTAAAAATTAGTAAGTCTCACTAAAAATTTCAAATGTGAATAAGCTGTGTCTACATAATGTGTTTCAAAAGGAAATATGTGGCTAACACAAAATTAAACAAACTTCACTTAAACAATAGTGCATATAGTCTGAGAAACGGAAAATTTCTTTGTAGATGAAACAACCATCACATACGTGATCAAAATCTCCAACAACGCACTCGTCATCAACCTTAATTTGAGTGAGGAGCATATCGTATTCTCGGTATTGCCTCACGTTTAAATCCAGAATTACCTCACCACCGTTTTTTTGGCATTGTCTAACAGCTTGAAATCCTTGATTTTTCCAAAGTTGGGTGATAGTTGGATCCTTCATCTATTTTCCCTTCACCGATTAGAATCATCCCGTAAACATACATTGCTTCGGAATGAGTAGCTCTAGCCACGAAAGAGATCTTAGCAATACCTGTAGCAATTTCTTTTCTGAAATAGTAATCTATGAGACCATACAAGAAGATAGCGTGAACATTCCCATTTTTTGCACAATCAACTAAAATTTTGAAATTTTTAGGAATCTCATTCCATGCTAGTGGAAATACTTCAGTGAGATTAAGATTCTTCCACACGTCTGGAAATTTGGAGATATGAAAGAATGCTTTGCATGAAGTAAGGGAAGATACGAAGTCAAGAGCAGAAGATTCTCCAACCTTACCAAGTATGACAACTAGCATGTCATCAGGAAGGAAATAGTTAGAACTGGCTGAAAACACTTTTTACTCATTATTTAGTTTTTGATATTTGAATTGATGTAGAAGTGTATGCCTTTGGTTCTATTTATAGCAAAATATTTGATTATAATTATCTTTCCCCGAAGATAACGAAGCCACAAAAGAAAATTGAGCGGGGAACAAATCGTATAATAATTTCTTATAAAACAATGCATTCAAATACAAAAAACAAGATATGCTATATAGAATTTGAATAAAAAGCATTTACCTCATGCATTGTGTTTGTCTCCTCCACAATAGGGAAACACCAAAGACTTAACCGGAGTTGCTAGAGACGCCGTCCCGTTCACCTGAAACATTTAAAGCTCATCGATGTTCATTTTAAAAAATCACAATTTCAAAAATCAGCTTCTCAATAGAAATACCTCTGTTTGAATATCTCCATCGTTTTCAATTCATCTCAAATTTGTTTTGGGAATAATTTGAATACCTTCATTTATATTTTGCATTTTTTTTTGTATTTGTTTATGTTGGTTATGATTAAATCAAAAACCGGTTGAAGAGAATGTTGGGTCTTGAAGAGAATGAGCTTCTAAATTAGGAACGTGTGCAACCATGGTAGGGCCATTATTATTATATGGTTGTTGCGGAAAGCTGCCTAAATGGATGCAAGGCTCTGGTTGAAAAGAAGCTTAAGATTGCTGCTGCTCTATTTCCAAATCAACAGTCCTGTTTCTTTGTCCCATCTCGTTTGCTGCAGAAGCCCTCTGATATAATTTGATCCATAAAAACATCAACAATCATACGGTAACAGAACAAACTATATGGCTGTGTAAGAAACCAAACTTCTTGATTCATAGAACCAACCAATGCAACATTATTACATCTCAAGCTGATACTAAAAACTAAGCTATCACATATTTTTTTTGGTAAGCAACTAAGCTATCACATTGTAATCTGTATATGTCAACTTCCGTATTTATGGATTTACATTGTGCATTCTCAAACTCATGGTAATAGGGTAAAGCCAAGATCATTTTCATTAAATAGCAAAAAAGACTGAAACTTTATCAAAAATAATAACAATTCTTCAAACACCAAAGAAAAAAGATCAAAACTGTATTACATAACAAAAACAGGAAACTAACCCACCATGCCTAACTACAATCAGAACAATCTTCTAATGCAATATTCAGCAAAATCAGGAACAAAACTCTAACCTTGAGAACATTAAGATTGTGAGAAAAAGCTTCAATTTTGGCTATGCAAACAACAGCAAACAAAAGACAAAGACTTTGCTATTTTTTCAGAGAATCCGAAACCAAAAAACTCCCTGCTAGATAAACAAAAAAAAAACAACAATCGGAGATTGAAATCATAAAAACAAAATAACCGAGAACAATGCATTTTCTTCGGATAAAGTTAATGCTAACATAATTCACAATTAAAACAATAAACCAAAAAAAACCCACCAACTAAAAAATGATTTATTTATCCCCAGGATAAAAGAAACTGGGAATAAAAAAATGAAGAAGCTAGAGAAGCCGATTATGGTGATGACTAAAAGAAATAATTACCTGATTTTAGAGGTTTAATCAGGGATAGAGAGAGATAGGGATCCGAAGCAGAGAAGAGAGACGTCGGTTTCTTCATTTTAACTTCTTTTTTGCTACAAAACCTGAATCCACTAAGAATTGAATTATATATACACTAATTGATGATCAAAAAATCTTCACGTTTCTTTATATTCTTTTTGGTCATCTCATGAGGTTTTTGTTAGACATAGGATTAGTTCTTGAACCAAAATCCACAAATTTCTTATACGAAATGCTGCTTATTTATTTATTTATATATTTATATAAAGACTACACGTTTGTTTGAATCATTATTGATGAAAATTAATATTATACAATGATTTTTATGAAACAAAGTTATAGAATTTATATTGAAATGTAAATTCAGCTAATATTTGAAGCTTAACAAACATATATTCAAAAATATACCCCGCGGCGGAGCGCGGGTTTCGCTCTAGTAAGTCTAAATACCATGTTAATAAATATATATGAGAAGAATATTTGTATGAAAAATATTTTTAACTTTATTGTTATATGTAATTATATTTAGTCGAACCATTTGGTTTTTTAAGCTTCTATAAAAATTTATGCAAAAGTAGTACGCGTGACTACATTTACGTCTTAATCAAACAATGTAAATGTTGAAAACCCAACAACGGCCTGAGTTATATTTACGCGGGAGGACGTAAATGTTGAAAATTCAATAAGAATTTGAGTACCTTAAAAATATCCATTTCGTTTTCAACTTATTGTGAGAGGTCTTGAATCCTCCTCTCTGGTCATTTGATTTCTAAGTAAAATCTTTTTTTTTTTTTGTAGTAGAAAAAACAATTCAGGTTTAGAGATGGATTGGTGGTGGAGGAAGAAGAATAAGAAGCTAATATTGGAGAGAGGTGCGACGGTGTTAAAAGATCTGATCGAATTAGGCCATGGCAAATCCAATCCCATCAAATTCTTCTCAGCTGATGAGATCCTCAAAGCCACCACCAATTTCAGCGACTCTAATCGTGTTTCTCGATTAGTTTATCCCTTCAACTGGTATTCAGGTAAGAACGAGAACCATCCCATGATACTCATCAAGAAAGATGTTGGCTGGTGGAGTGGCTTGAGAGTAGATCTTTTGTGCCGCGACATAGCAATGTCATCGATGGTGAGTGGTCATAAAAACTTCATGAAATTGGTTGGATGTTGTCTTGAGTTTGAAGATCGTGTCATGGTTTATCATGGTGTTAAAAAACATTACAAATTAGATATAAGGGAACAGACGTGGAAAGGGAGAATGAAGATAGCAGAAGATATCGCTACTGCTTTAGCTTACCTTCACACTGCCTTCCCAAGGCCCGTCATATATAGGTTTTTGTCTCTTTGGAATATCTTATTGGATGAAGATGGGGTCGCCAAGCTGACTGATTTCTCTTTCTGCGTCTCAATCCCAGAAGGAGAAACATTTGTCCGTGTTGACAGAGCAACAGAGGGATTATATAGTTTCTTGGATGATAATTACATTAGCAGTGACGTAGTCTCAGAGAAAACAGATGTATTTGCCTTTGGAATGTTTATAGGTCTAAGGTTTCTATTAGGAATCGAAGACTTTTTGGAGCTTTATCTAGAAGAAGAAGAAGAAAGTGAAGGTGGAGGTTCTGATATTGATTATGAATTTGACAGTAAGATGAAAAGACATGCTCGAAATTTGCTGTCAAAATTAAAGGAAGACCGAAGAATAGAAGAGATTGCAGATCCAGAGATGGGTAAAATTTCAGAACAAGAGTTTTGTCAAATGAAAGCTTTCTTAAAGCTATCACGGAGATGCATTGGTCCTAGGGAAGAAGTTCCAACGATGGTGGAAGTGGCCAAAGAACTTAAGAAGATCCAAAGATCTCTTAATATATAACGACGACTCTTTTTCTCCTTCAGGTGAAACCCGATTCTAACTTTCCCCATGACGTTTCTTAGTTACATTCATGTTTGTTTGTATTATCAAACTTTTGCAAGATCTCCCCTTAGTGATTGTGTCTGTGTGTTTTTGGGTTTGATCGATACTTCTGTTTTCGTTTATGTTATCAAGATATGTTATGATACATGTGAATCTTGTATATCGATAATATTTATTTTCTAAAGTTTACATAGTATCAGAAACCATTGTTTTCATTATCTAGTGTCTGATACACGTATTCACATTTATTAAACTGATAATCAAGTATCTTACCGCTCTTAAATCTTCAATCTTTTGTCTAAATAAGATGATTCCTCTCATGGCCTGTAAACGACTTGACTTCCCTCAAATTTACTAACAAATTCAAACAACAAAAATTAAATACAAATTGACAAACATGTGGTTGGACAGGTCAAAAGTGATCAAAACAAGGTATGAAGCTTCTAAATGTCTTTTGTTCTTGATATGTCATGAAGACAAGAATTTTGATTTCTCATTTGTTGCGTAGAAGAAACACCGATTGAGGATTAAAATTAAAAGTTACATGAAACCAAATGATGAAAATATGGTTTACATGAAGATTTGTTGAATCATCATCTCTTACCAGCTGCAGCTACAACAACAAAAGCTAACAATCAGATTTAAATCTTATAACTGACTTCAACCTTGTTGTGAGTTATAAGATCGACGCATGTCAAAGTTAGCTTTCAGATTTAAATCTTATAACTCACTTCAACCGTCTTCAAAATTGGCTGTCAAAAGTAAAGGGAGACCGACGCATGGATGAGATCGCAGATCCGAAGATGCTAGAAAAGATGGGTCAAATTTCAGAACAAGAGCTTCGTCAAATGCAAGCTTTCTTGATGCTCTCACTGAGATGCATGGGTCATAAAAGGGAAGTTCCAACGATGGTGGAAGTTGCCAAAGAACTAAAGAAGATACAAAGATCTCTTCATAACGACTCTTCTTCTCCTTCAGATGAAACCATATTCGAAAAATGTGCTGAAAACTAGTTACATTCATGTTTGTTTGTATTAAGATATTACCAAACTTTGGTCAGATCTCACCTTAGTGCTTGTGTCTGTGTTTTGGGTTTGATCGATCCTTCTGTTTTCATTAATGTTATCAAGAGATGTTATGATACATGTTACATTCATGTTTGTTTGTATTAGGATCCACTATCAAACGCAAGGCTGATCTCACCTTGGTGAGTGTGGTTTGGGTTTGATCGATCCGTCTGTGTTTGTTTTTGTTATGTTATCAAGAGATGTTATGATACATATGAATCTCGTATAGATAAAATTTCTATAGAGATATAACACATGTATTCACATTTATTGAAAAGATAATAAATATCTTACAAATATACGAGATTAACAAAGATGCTATCAAGTTCGAAGATTTTTTATTTCATATTTGTTGAGTACAAATACACCGACCTAGGATTAAAATTAAAAGGTACATAAAACCAAATGATGACAAGATGGTTCTACATGAAGATCTGTTGAATCATTATCTCTTAGCAGCTGCAGCTACAACAACATAAGCTAATAACAATCAGATTTGAATCTTATAACTCACTTCTAAGACGTATATCTTCCTAAACCTCGTTGACATTTCCACATAAATTACGAATTCAGTTAATTCCGCGTGACTTTTAAGTTACAACCAAATAATATAAATCCACAGCTGCGAAGATAGCCAAACAAATATATAAAATGTATCCTCGTGCGATCATAAGATTTAAAGACTGCTCGGTAAAAAAAAGAAATTTGTTCATCGTAATTGGGCTGTGGTCTACCTTTGATTGCTTTGGGAAAAGTAAAAGTGGAATCATCTTCTCCTAGCAGCTGGTTGCATTTGTGCACCTCCTGCCTGTCCACCTGCGGGTTCTTCAGCCATGTTTGATGCTTGTGTTACGGCGTTCATCACTACGAGTCCCAGCGGTATCAAATACATCCACTGGTGTATCATAAGAAATTTACATCAAGACCTAAAGCAAAAGGAATCATCAAAAGATCTTTATTGTACTACTCACATATTTCGCCCAAAATGATCTCTCTGGTGGTGGTTCAACTTCTCCCTCTACATTCTCACTGCCTAGAATCTCCTCAGTGAATATTGGAGTTCTGTGAAACAGTCAGGTAAGGATAAGATAAAACATTAGTTATTGGGCTAAGGGGTGGAGGCAATGGTATCTATTGATTGATATAACTTGATGAACTGACAAAAAGATTTATGTCTATAGAACACATTTCGAATATAGATATGCAGGCTCATGCAAAGTTAAGCCATTTGATGCAATAATTATCCTACCTTGGTGCCTGCTCACTGCTTTTCAGAATTGTGTGAGAGTTAAACGACCATTTTGCTGGCTATAGTAAACAAAAAAGAAAATCATAGATTAGATCGCATAGATAATCAAAAGTCAGAAGCTCTTACGAAACTGTAACCTTCTTCCTTCTGAATATAGGGTTTCAGAGTTTAAGTAGACAAGAGATGTGATAGAACCCAAGGTCGGATTCTATTGGAAAATATCACTATTAGTGACACTTAGAGAGACCAGCGAATCTCCTACTTTGTTTACAAGAGGAAAGTCAATTAGACTCGCACAAACAAAAATCACAAAACATGGTAACAGACTAACAGTCACCCAACACTAATCACTTCAAACCACACCACAAAATCACACAATTATGGAATGTTTACATCCTAAGAGCATACTCTCACATGTCTTATCTTCTGATGGTATTTCCGCACAAAAGTTTCTGCGGATCAAACAAGATATTACAGATAGTCCATTTATGCTGAAACTACCTAGGCAAGATAGAGAAAGAGGATGCAATACTGTACTCTAGAATATGACTCAAAATATATTTAATCACAGAAAATATTTTAGATCACAGAAAACATTGGTGAATGGAAAGATAATGACTCAATTACAACATCTTCATTCATAATTTTATCAGTATATCAGAATCTAGACCGAAGGCAAAAAGGATCAGTCCATGTCCAATTTATCTCAGTTAGAGTTTAAAATAGAAGAGAAGCTGGGATAATAGAGTTCACTTACAAGTTTCAACTGTCGAGGATATTGACACGCCCCAGGAGAACCATAACTAACTGCCAAGATGTTGGCACCTTCCTGCAAGCGGAGACAGTATAGCAATGAGCAAGTAAACTAACCGAGATGAACATGGTTTTGAACTCTATTCATAGTCCCAACTTTCTCTGTAATACACTCACGTAGTAGTTAAAATACCACGGCGCAAACTAAACTTTGAGCTCAACAAACGTTTATACCAAAAAAAAAGGGCATTACCATGTGTATAATGAAATGCTCATCCAAGCCATCCCGTGGTAGACATCTCTGCAATCAAACAAGTATATTGTTTTAAAATTAGACACATAACCTGATGGAAAAGTGGGAAAAGGCAAGAAGGGTGTCTAAACGAGTGTTGTCTTTGTCAGTCTACCCTAGAAACAAATTTGTATGTGTTTTACAGAACGACTAACCATTTCATACCGATCCAATAATATAAACACGCTCTAATATCTCGAAAGAGTTGAAAAAAATTAGATTATTACTAGTAAGCTGTAGCCTACTAGGAGTTCAATGAGTGAAACTAAATGAACTAATCTTTCAGCCAGCCACCACGGTTACAAAGAGTCTTTTATATAGACTAAAACAAAGCCTGTAATTTACAGCTCCAGACATGCGAAAGCACTAGTAAACAATCAAAGAAATCAACCTTAAAGGTTGATATAGACTTACAGCTCTCACTGATGCAATCACAAACTCTCTCCCTGGTGGACTGACCACATTAGATGGAAGTCGAATCCGATAAAAGTCATCTCCTTTCAGCAGATTCTACAAATACATTCCAACAAAAAAAGGCATTACATCTCTCCATTCCAAGGAAATTAGAGAAACAACTGATACAACAATAACATTAGAACATTACCTTGAACGCATCTTTCTCTTCAGCAGAAAAATCATTCCTAGAGAATCGCAGCTTCGTTAATGTCTGCATCCACACAAGATCAACTCTAGTTAATTACTGAATTAAATATCAGATAATTTAACAATCTTAATTACATCAATTCACTTCAGAGCAAAGCCAATTCCAGAATTTGCAGATTAAACTTGATAAGATCGAAGTAACATGAATAGATTCGATCCAAAAACCTAACATCAATAAACCGAATCTCGATACCTTTCCGCCATGACTCCAGGTTTTGAGACGAGCGGAAAAAGTACCGGCGGGGGAGAAATCGGAGTCACCGAAAGCATGTTCGAGAGTAAATTGGACTTTGGAATCCAAATCGGTAGGATCTGAGTATCTTCTCCGGATAGTTGGAGTCTGTTGCTGCTGCTGCGGCGAAGAAGAAGAAGATGTGTGAAGATCGGTGGAGCGAGGCTTTGCTCCTTCTAGACCAAATTCATCGTCGTCAACGAGGAGTTCGTCTGATTGGAAAGCGATGGATGAGGAGAAGATGAGAATGGAAAGGAAGAAGAGAAGTGTGAGCTTCGCCATTGTTGCCGGCGATCTCAGTTTTTTTTGTTGTGTGTAGATTTAGCAGAGTAGTTGTGCGAGGGTCGCTGAGTCCGATATATCGATCGAGTTTTGCAAGTTTTTGAGTCTTTAACGAAACTGAATTAATAAATAGAAGAAGAAGAAAAAAAAAAGCTTTATCCCAAATATTGTAAAAGAAAAAAAAATGAGATATATTTTTTTGGTAGGAAGAAAAAGAAAAAAAAAATGAGATATATTGTTGTTTTCTAAATTTTGTTTTATTGTTTTAGTATTTTGTTCGATAGATTTATTTGTTATACAATTTTGTTCTAGGCGTTCCATTATGACCATCGTCTCCGTCGTATTCGGAAGTGTTTTATGAGATTCTGTTTTTGATCTTTATTTGTCGGGTTATGAAGTCTTAGTTAATTGGTTTCGAGAAATCATCTCTTCTGATAGAAAAAAACAGATGTTATCGATAGGGTGGCCATGGGCAGTAATGATAAATTGGATTCACAGTTTCTTCTAAAGAAAATGTCTTCTTTGGTACTTGTCAAGTGTTTTTCTTCGAATTTTAAGTTTGTGTGCTTCCTTAGTTTTTTTTTCGATTACTTTCGATTTTGGCTTTAAAATTTCTTGTTTGTAATGTGTTTATGTTTCCTTACATAGATCTTAGTCTTCGAAAAATATTCATGTTTTCCTCCGTCTTAGTTTCCGAGAACTTTTCTTTCGTCCGACAAGTTACAAAGGTCTAAATTTTTTGTGTGTTTACTTCTCGACAATATATATATATATATACTAGATCATCACCCGTACTACAGTACGGGTTGAATTTCATTTATTACAAAATTAATAAATTTTATGTTTTAGAATAAAGTTGTGATATATTATAATAGTAAGTGAAAAATAATATTTTTTTGTCAGTCCCTATATATAATATTAGAATGAATATATTTTTTTTTTCTATAGTATTCAATTATGGATATTTTTTTTAAGATATGTAAACGGAAAATAAGATTATTTTTTAAAAAATTAATATTGTTTGAAAAATGAGTTAATTTATGTTAACAACCACAAAATGAGAGTGCATATAATTTAGTTAGATCAAAAATTAAAATATCATAAATAAATTGCATCTAAAACGTAGATTATTTTGAATTATTTAAGAAAATTAGCTATTATTTTGAATTAATTTAGAAAATTATTTTTTCAAATTCTGATTCATCGGTTGTTAAAATAGAGATTTGTTTGAGCTAATTACGGAATTTACCAATTATTCACATAATCAAATATGTTATGAACATATATTTGGTATATAATAATACCAAATTCAATCCGTGTGTGGAGTCTATATTTTCATTTTACAATCCCTATGAAAATATTGCGGCATAATCTATTATTTATTATTTTCAAAATTGATTGCAAAATCAAATTTTCAAATATTTAGAAGTGTCAAACCTTATTTAACTCATCTCATCATAAAATCTTAAAATGCCGTCAGTTATAAGGATCATAACTTTCTACCATATAATACATTACATTTAACCCGCCGCCTACTATAAATATTTTAAACATATCTTTTTAGAAAATCAAATTAATGTATTTATAATTTTTTATCTTTTTAATCTATTAAATATTTATGATATTCTTTAATATAATAAATTAAACTTTTTTAAAATGTTCCAAATTAAAATCTTTAAAATTTTTTATTGTAGTATGTAAAATTATGAATTTTTTTAAAAATGATATGAAATTAAATATAATTATTCAAATAGTTATAAGGATCATAACTCATTTCATCATATAATATATTATATTCAACCCGCCGCCTATTATAAATATTTTTTTCAAAAAATCAAATTAGAGTATTTATACTTCATAAATTTTTGATCTTTTTTTTTTTCGTCGAAACATGGATTATATTGATGAATTAACAAAGTCAACATACAACTGTTCAGTAAGCCATGGTGGCGGATACAAACTATCAGAGAAAAAAGATGTTTTTAAACAACCAAGCTTTGCTAGCAAATGAGCTATCTCATTACAAGACCTTTTAGTAAATAGGAAACGTATTTCTTTAAATTTCGAAGCCCAGAAAAGAATATCTTGATGAATGCCGTGTATGGAGATGTCATATGATTGGCCATTGCATATCTTGACGAGTTCCGCACAATCTCCTTCAAATATAATCGAGTGAAAGCCTCTAATCCATGTCTGTTGCATTGCTACCAGTAGTGCTTTAGCTTCTGCTTCCAAGGGTGAGATGGCTTTATGTGTCCGTGTAGCTCCCCAACTTCTTGCTCGTCCATCATTATCGCGTATAACCCAACCTCCCGTTGCAATATTTGTATTTGAATCAAAGCCTGCATCAAAATTGCACTTAATAAAACCTAATGGAGGGCGTTTCCAAAACTGCTCCGTCATGTGATGAATCCCTGTATGAGGATCGTTATGTGCTCTTTCGGTGTTGGTAATCCATTCGTTGACGTCCGCTTGTGCTCTTATCACCACCTCCGTTGGACTGTCCCTTTTTCCCCGGAAGATGTAATTATTGCGTGACTTCCAAATGTGCCATAGTAACCATAATGGTTTCAGCTTTTGATCTAAAGATAAACCTTGTACTTTTTGTAGTTCTAAAACTGTGCCGATATTAATTTCGCAATCCATCGATGGTGATTGTAAAGAATAAGCAGGTACATTTGAAAGCCTCCATATCATTGTTGCATAAGGGCATGTGAACAGAACATGATTTATAGTTTCATCAGCTAGTCCACATCGTGGGCATTGGGGATCCAGTTTCATACCACGCGTGTTCAATTGGTTGATTGTTGGTAGTGCTTTGGAGAGAATGCGCCAGATGAAGTGTTTTATTTTAGGCACGGTGAATAATTTCCAGATACTCTGTTTCATGTGTACTGAGCCATACGGAGGATTCGGTCGTCGGCTTGAATAATGAGGTTCATGTGTTGCGAGCCAATAACCCGAACGGACTGAATATTCTCCGGATTTATTGTAATGCCAAACAATCTGGTCTGTTATTACTCTTTGAGGTATATGTATCTGTTTTAAACGATGGTGGTCCTCCGAAATAATGCAGTTGGAAATAGCATTGTCATTCCAAAATCTATAAGAACCATGATTTGAAATCAACTCTTTGACTAACAAATTGGGAACAGAATCCTTATTTCGAATCGGTCGCGGTGGATGAGACGGTATAATGTTGTCAATTCCAATTCGTAGTGTCTCTCCATCACCAATGACATATCTTGACCCTTTTTTTATTATATCCAAACCTGCCAATATTGAAGCCCATCCATATGATTGTTTTACACATTGCTTGGCATTGATAAGTTCTCCGTCACGGAAGTAGCGGGCTTTCATAATTTGAGCAAATAAAGAGGTCGGATGTCTTATAAGTCGCCAAGCTTGTTTTGCCAGTAAAGCGTCATTAAATTTTGCAAGATCTTTGAAACCTAGACCACCTTCTTTCTTCGAATATTGCAGGCGCTTCCAAGCAACCCAGGGAATTCCTCTATCATGGTTTCCTTTTTCCCACCAAAACCTCATAAGGACAGATTCGATCTCAGAGATCACGCCAAGAGGTAGTTTGAAACAGGACATTGCGTATACGGGCATTGAAAGTGCCACCGATTTGAGTAAAATTTCTTTTCCCGCTGTTGATAAATATTTTGCACTCCAAGTAGAGGTTCTTTGTTTGACGCGAGCAATGATGTAATCGAACATTTCTTTTTTCTTCTTTCCAAACTGCTCCGGTAATCCTAGGTACTTCCCACCACCGCCATGATTTGATATGCCAAGGATTAACTTTAAACGATTTTGGACGGTGCCATTGATTCTTGAGCCGAAGGTAATAAGCGATTTGGATGTGTTGATTTTCTGTCCCGAATAATATTCGTAAACGTCGAAAGCTTCTTTCAAGGCTTGACAATTACGTTTGTTAGCTTGACAGAAAAAGAGTGAATCATCTGCAAACTGTAAATGAGTAATAGCAGGTACACCGTTTCCTATACGAACGCCACGTATTTCTCCCGTAGAAGCTTTGGATTTGATAAGATGATTCATGATGTCCGCACATAGTATGAAAAGGTAAGGGGAGAGTGGGTCTCCTTGTCGTATTCCTCTGCCGGGTGTGATCATTCCATGGGGAGATCCGTTTACAAGAACCGAGTATCTTACTGAACGTACAGTACCCATAATCCACTTAATCCATTGATCCGAAAAACCAAACAGTTTCATTGTGACCTCTAGAAAGTCCCATTCAACTCTATCATAAGCCTTGGTAACATCAGTTTTGATGGCCATATAATTTTGGGAGACTCTTTTTCGTGTTTTTAGAGAATGCATGACTTCATGAGCAATCATTATATTATCAGTTATTAGTCTCCCAGGAATGAAAGCTGCTTGAGATTCCGATACAATGGATCCCAAATGAGGTTTGAGTCGATTAACAAGACACTTGGATATAATTTTGTAAAGAACATTGCAGAGGGCAATGGGTCTATAGTCCGAAAGTGTTTTTGCAGTAGTAGTTTTTGGGATCATACAAATATTGGTATGGTTGATACTCGGTTTCATGAAAGAAGTAGAAAAGAAATCACGTACCTCTTTGATCACGTCTTCACCAACAATGTCCCAATATTGTTTGTAGAAACGTGCAGTTAGGCCGTCAGGTCCCGGTGCTCTATCGTCGCCTATAGAGCTAATGGCTTCATAGATTTCACTTCCATCAAAGTCTCTGGTTAACTCCTCATTTATGTTCTGTGTCACCGTGGGATTGAAATCACCAAAGTCTATGGGAGAGACTGGTATTCCACTAGAAGTATATATATTGGTAAAAAATGACTGAGCATGATTTCCAATTTCTTCATCTCCCCGAAACGTCTGATTATGATCATCTTGGATGGAGGAGATGTAATTTTTGGAATACCTTGTCTTTGTGCTCGCATGGAAGTAAGCCGTGTTACGATCGCCTTCATTAAGCCAATGCTTTCGACTCTTTGTTTTCCAATAAATTTCTTCATCACGGTAAGCTCGAGTTAGGTGACGTTGAATTTGTGGTATATGCATCCGCACACTCCTATCTGTACTCTCCATAGCATGGTTTAAGCTTGCTTGGTAGTAGTCAATACGCTTTGCTGCGTTAAGATTTGATCGATGTTTTCCCCGTGACATTGCTCTCCGACAGTTTCTGATTTGCTCGCAGATTGAGTACCTATGTTTGTGTTTACACGAATTCCAACCTGATGCAACTATTCTCTCAAACTCTGGAATGTGTGTAAGTCGTTTATCAAATCGAAACGGTTTATGACTGGTCGTTGCTGTCTCATTGAAGCAAGTGAGAACCGGTTTATGGTCTGATCCATTAAATTCCAAGAACTCAGCCTCTGCATTGGGGAAAGTTGCAGCCCATTCTGTATTAACCATGACACGGTCCAAACAGCATTTAATAGTGTGATTGTGCCTTTCTCCCACCCAAGAAAACCTGTCTCCCTTGGATTTTAAGTCAATTAGATCACACGCACTAATCATATTGTTAAAGTCTCTGAAAGTCCAAGCATCCCGTAATGGACCACCTATTTTTTCAGAGTTTGAAGTGATTTCATTGAAATCACCTATAAGAATCCAAGGGCTATCTCTTACTGCTCCTATTCTCTCAAGTCGTTCCCAAAAGAAGTGGCGCTGGCTTTGGACTGGATTACCGTAAACACCCGACAAATAAAAAGCACTATCATTATACTTAATAAATACATCAATCATACGTTCATCTTGATACACTTTAGACAAAGAAACATTATTTAACCACATCATAGCTAGTCCTCCACTCCTACCATGAGGGGGCTCAGTTATTAAGTTTTGAAATCCTAAAACAGAAGAGAAATCACGAACAACATTACAACTATTTAAAGTTTCACAAAGAAATAACACATCAGGTTTTAAAATACGACATAAACGCTTCAGACGATCTTGGGTCATCGGCGAACAGATGCCCTGGCAGTTCCATGAAAGGACTCTCATGGAGGAAACAATGGGGGTACCGGGCCCCCCGCGCCTCTGTCCATTGAATTCCCAGAGCAAGAGCCTGCAGATTCAGCCTTCTCCTTCTTCTTTATCTGACTTAGGATCGTCAGATCTTCAGCTGCTTCACATTGTTGATAAAAGGCTTCCAAGTCAGTCCTCTTGCGCTTGTTGTTGGGTGAGTCCTTGACCATACCTGCAACATCCTTTTTAATTGGAGAGATTAAGTCTTGCTGCTCCTTCCCTTTTGCGAACTTGTTGTACAAGTAGCGAAGCCGTTCTGCTGTTAATTCTGTGTCCTCAAAGGCACTTGGAAGAGAGGACTCATCAGATTCAGTAATGATGAACTCTGTGAACCCCTTAGTTTGTTGCAGGCCAGGAATCTGGACCTCAGGAGTGGTTGTTTGCAACGTATCAGTCTCAAATGCAGGAGCAATCACGTTCTCTGGTTGATTACCATCATCATCATTGTCATCATCACTATCGTCCACCGGCGGATCATCAAAAGAGATTGAGCACTCCTTAGCATCATGCTTCAGAGATCCACATTTGGTGCAGAAGTTGCGAAGTCGTTCAAAGCGAAACTTCAGAATCGTGTTCTCAGAGTCCACAAACTGAAAATTGCGTTGAAAGCGAAGTGGCATGTCTGAATTCCAATTCACACAAACCCTAACAAATTCAGACCATCCCGCATTCTCATCAAAATCAACATCAGCGAGATGACCCAAGTTGTTTCCCACGTATCTCACCATCGCCTCTGTTAAGTAGAGGATCGGAATTCCCCTAATTTGTATCCAAAACGGGATGATCTTCATCTCGTCCTCGGTGATGTTAGGATACCAACGGTGAACGGTTAGCATCCAGTCATTGAAGGCCCAGGGGCCTCGGCGAAGAACAAGGTTCATTGGTTCCTCCGAATTGAAAATGAAAAGCACTTTCCCATTACCCAGAATTCTCCCACGGCAAGCATCAGGGAACCCCCAAATCCGAGGCAACTGGCCAGCAATTGCACGAAGATTCTGCTTCCGGGGGTTAAGCACCGTCACGATCAAAGAGAATCGGTTGATTGTAGCCGCTCTGCCGCAGAGTTCGGCCGGTAATGCAACAGGGGTATCATTGATCCCCAAATTGAGATCTTGCAAAGACTTACGAACTTGGTCACTCATTATGGTTTTGGATTTCAGTGAATTGATGGTTGAAAAACGGTCTGAATAGAAGAATGTCGGGATTCCAACACATATAAAGGGTTGGATCCATGGTGGTTTTCCTTGACGGTTACCCTTCGAAAGAAGGGGAAAAGAAAAACTGCCACCAGATAACCGTGACAGAGGAAAACCGTCGGAATTTAAAAACTTAGATCTCCATTTTTCCGTCGGAATCACGCTCCGAGAAGGAGAAAAGAAAGAAAGAAGAGAAATTCTCAAATCGCACCAGAAATCGCCATCAGAGAGGAACATGGCGATAGATATTTTCCATAAATTTTTGATCTATTCAGTATTGATGATACTAAAAAAAAAGGAATATATTACTCAAATATGAATTTTTGACCCGTTAAATTTGTTCTTTCATACATTGAATAATTTATATTCGTTTTTAAAAATTCAAATCTTGGTATATGCGAAAAAAAATTACTTTTTTTTTATTATATAGATGATATAATGATTTATTTATTTATAGAAATAGAATCATATAAAGATGAGAGGTGAAATATAATGATTAATAACAAATTAATATGGTAAGTTAGATATCAAATCTTATATGTTAATTTTGATTGGTCATTCTTTTTAAAGAAATTAATAATAGATTTTCGTTTTTATAATTAAATTAAATTAATTAAATTGCATAAAATAGTATTTGACTTGTTTATCCTTAATGAGTTGAATTAATTTACTCTATAAAATTTTATTTCTAATGGCATTCTTAAGTAAATTCTTACAAATGAGAAGGTTAATTAAGGGTAATTATAAATTGTACTCCCCAAATAATAGTATAGGATATAGGGGTGAGCACACAACTACAAGATCTCACCCAAAACAACCCGATAACAATACTTTCTTAACAAAAAAATCTAACCCCAATATACATATTTATCTAGAGGAATATATGTAAACCGGCTTCCGAGTATCAAGGAGTAAGATACTCCTACATAAACAGTAGGAGAATTAACCAAACCAAAGCATGACAATATTGACCAGGTGGAATCAAACGATAACTATGATTACATGGATTTAGCTGCTTTTTACTTATGACAAAGTCAAATAAATTTTATTGACACTAAAAGCAGGCCTGGCTCTTGGGGTGTGCTGAGTGCAAGAGCACAGGGTTCTATTTTTTTATTTATTTTTTCTTGGTATTTTAGGGTCCAAAATATTCAAATAATTACAAAATAGAGTCTAAGTTTTTAAATGTTAAACATTTAGGTCATCATATAAAAAAAATTGCAACATAGCACAGGGCCCAATAATATTTTGAGTCGGCCCTGACTAAAAGCATAATAATATTCTAGCGATAATAAACCTATATAAACTATAATTATTAAATAAAATAAATCAAACGATAGAAGCATGGTTCACTAAGCGACAACCGATCAAACAAACCGATAAACCATAAACTATATACCGATCGAATATAAAGCATGTGGTGACTTATTTTTCAGAATGAAACGTATGTTTAGAGGGATCAGAGCTCAAAACCGAAGATGGAGTTGAGATGTTAGAAAAAGGGTAGGATTTTGATAGAAATTTATTTTTAACTCAAGCGGCTAGGTGTCGATAACGTGTTTTGAACAAATAGGTTTAAGAATTTGTTTTCTTGTTATTGATAGATTCCATAAGATACACGATATATATATAGGAATTAAACATTAGATTTTATGTTAGAGATCACATATTCTATAACCTTCTAGACTCTACTAATGGACCTATAATGGACATCCATACAACTACAACATTATTCTTTTTTTTTTTTTTGATCAACCAACTACAACATTATTCATGTAAAAAAAACTATATTATTATTATCTTTATGTATTATATGATGATTATAAAGCAATTAAATATCAAATAAAAATGATTAAGAATCATAATTTTAAATGTTAATAAAATCTTTTAAATATATAGATTATTAATTGTGAAAATATTATATATGCTGATTTTATAATTAATGTTAAAATCTTTTAATTGTATTTGGTTGTATGAATGGTAAAAATTTAATGGTAAGGATTGTTTGAATATAAGAATATAAATATTTTTCTTTTAATAATATAAATATTTTGTATATAAGTTGGGTATTGTGGACAAATTAAATGGCTAAAATATTTGACTATTTACAATTTTTGAAATTTTTGGTATTTCTTCTTTTTTTACTAGGCTAGCAAACGCGCTTGAGGTGCTCACAACGTCAAACCAACTATCCTCATCCTTGGACCGTCTCAACTACCAAAGATTCAGAAAGAACCTCAACAACTTCCTTGTTTAAAATTGTAATTTTTACAGTCACATTCTTTACTAATCAGTTATAAAATTTATACAATCAAAGTCTTTAAAGCAAAAGTTTCTACAGCGAAAGCTTTTATAGTCAAAGTCTCTACAGCGATAATTAAAAGTCGTTACTAATCGGCCCTTAGGTGACCGAATTTTAGAACGTATTTGTTTGTTTGGGTTGTAAAACGATTTACTTGGTAGAAGTGGTTTTTTTCGTTTGTAACAATTAAATTTTACTTTAACAAATGCTAACTCAAGAATAATGTGATCATCTCTGATATGAATATAAAAGATGTAGTTTAGTAAAAAAGTACTGAATACACAAAATTATGTGAGCAGTCCATAAAACAATATGTACGATAGTCATAATGTAAAAAAAATACGTTATCATTGAAGTCCTTGGGTCAAAAAATTTCTTTTGGTTAAAAAGGCTTTGCATTTAGTCAAGTTACAATTTATTTTAGAAATCCTCTTTGACAACTTGTAAATTTGTTACAACTTACAAGTTATACTAGAGTTGTATAGTGTATATTGTTTGTCTATAAGATCATAGAAGTTTTTCGAGTTATTTAATTTGTATTGTTACATTTTTTTAGTGTCATAATTAGTCAATAGTTGTTTTTTTAAAAACTTTTTATCATTTCTATTTTTTTAATCATGAATTTGATATTAAAAAAAAAAATTGGTTATGTTTTGCTTATTTTTCTTCTTATGTTTTGCTTAAAAATATATATATATAATAATCTATACTATTAATTGGGAAGCACTCAAACATAAATAACCTTATAAAGTGTAAAGTATTACAAAAATGCCACTGGTTTTAGTTTTTAAATAAATTCATTAAAGATACAATAGTAATCACAAAATAATATATTTAAATAAAAAATAATAAAATTCTTTAAAGTAGTAATTATTAGTTTCCAAAAAATTAAACTCACTTTCTCTCATTTATTAATTATGGACGAAAATTTTAAAAAATTGTTAACCAATGAGAATTGAAAAACTAAGATTTGATATCCAACTAAAATTTTATCTAAACCAATCCTAATAAACTATTCTATATCAAAAATAAAAAGAAAAATAATACTATTTTAATTCAAAATTAAAAACACTATAGTTTAAAATTTTTTATCAATATGGGATTTTAAGATTGAATTTTAAATTTCGTAAAAAATTAAATACAAATATTTAAGACTAAGTTTTGTTATAATATTTTCACAAATTTTGAAATATAAAACAAAATTTTATTTCAAAATTTCTAAAAAAATAATATTGGGCATTCATTTAGAGCAAGTTTCGGAAATATCTAAACAATAGATTGTACATGTTAATTTCGAAAAATTTTGTGTTTTTTTTTTTTTCTTCTCAACCGGATCTTCCTTAAACCAATCCATAATATATTGCATTACAAAAATAACCTTATAAAGTGTAAAGTATTACAAAAATGCCACTGGTTTTAGTTTTTAAATAAATTCATTAAAGATACAATAGTAATCACAAAATAATATATTTAAATTAAAAATAATAAAATTCTTTAAAGTAGTAATTATTAGTTTCCAAAAAATTAAACTCACTTTCTCTCTTTTATTAATTATGGACGAAAATTTTAAAAAATTGTTAACCAATGAGAATTGAAAAACTAAGATTTGATATCCAACTAAAATTTTATCTAAACCAATCCTAATAAACTATTCTATATCAAAAATAAAAAGAAAAATAATACTATTTTAATTCAAAATTAAAAACACTATAGTTTAAAATTTTTTATCAATATGGGATTTTAAGATTGAATTTTCAATTTCGTAAAAAATTAAATACAAATATTTAAGACTAAGTTTTGTTATAATATTTTCACAAATTTTGAAATATAAAACAAAATTTTATTTCAAAATTTCTAAAAAAATAATATTGGGCATTCATTTAGAGCAAGTTTCGGAAATATCTAAACAATAGATTGTACATGTTAATTTCGAAAAATTTTGTGTTTTTTTTTTTTCTTCTCAACCGGATCTTCCTTAAACCAATCCATAATATATTGCACATAGTTTTCGAAATATTGTGAACTAATTATATATGTTGCATTCAAAACAAATTATGTAGCAATAGCATATCCCTTTATAGATATATCTCAAATTTTAATTTTACTCCAAAAAATCGAATTAATTATGATTAAACAATGAAAAAAAAAATATGCAAAATTTAGCTAGAAACATTAATAAATTTGTTAAAATATATTTATAACTTTAACAGCATAAATATTAATCCGCAAAACTCACAGTATATATTGTAATATTGTATGGTATTTAAAAGTAAGCAAACAAGAATTTGGAACATAATTTTAATGGAATAAAATGGAAATAGAATTGACGAGACGAGATGGAAGGGGAACATATATTAAAAATCAAACTAAATACCCAACTGGTATGAGTTCGGGTTATGAGCACTATATAAAATAATTTTGTTTCCACACATAACCATGTACATACGTTTTCAGTTACACATACTCTATTTATGACAGATATGGGACCGTAATATTTTTATTTTACGTGTACGTGACAGGTTATGAGATAAAGAATTTATGACAGATACCGGACGAGATATGTTTCATGTTCCAAAATAGTTACGCCTTGCTAATATATATGAAATAACCCAAACTAAAACCGAATTCATATCCTATTTAACATATGTAATCAAACTGTTAGAACTATTTTGATTAGTTAAGAAAATAAAAATGTAACACCATTTAACTTTTGCAACTAAATTAGTTCGGATCTTAAAATATAATTATGCGTTAACTCAACTGAATTTTTTGTTCATTACTCTAACTTTATAATATTTATATTATTACGAAGTTCACTAATACAACAAAATATTTTATATTTTTAAAATCTATATAACAATTTCTATAAAAATATTTCTACACGTACGTGGATCCAGATCTAATACACTAAGATATATATCATAAAACAACAAATAATCTATATTGAATTAAATTTTGTAAAAAAAAATTTAAAATATGAAACCCCGCACGTACGTGCGGGTCATGATCTAGTATATCTATAAAACAGCCACTTCCATCGAAATCGAAAACTAGAGAAAAATTGAAAGGCTAATTTTATCACATTTAAATCTATTACTTTTGGCATTTTAGAAAAAAAAAACAAGAAAAATTTGCACTTCTAATTCTTTCAATGATTAAATAATTTACATCACCTGTATCAGGATTATCTGAATCTAGTTATTAAATTATGAAGGCCAAAAATATATTGGTCTCATTGCCTTAGAGGCCTACTTTCATACATAACATGTGATGTAAATAATCTTGTATACATTTTTTTTTATATATAATTTGATATATTTTACTGGACACAACAATATGCAATCGCATGTGTGGATAACCAACCACACATTTACGGAACCAAAGCTACGATTATTGTATGGGATCCCGTAGTCGAATCACCGGACGACTTCAGTTTAGCTCAGGAAATAGCGAGACCAACGATCTCCACACGATCGAGGCGGGTTGGCAAGTAAGTTCTAAACATTAACAATTGCATTTAATTTTTTCCATGTTACTACTTCATCAAAACATTATCAGAATTATGTACGCAAATGACTAACCATAAAATCATATTATTCATGATTTAGGTTTTCCCCAACAGGTATGGTGACCACCCACCAAGACTTTTTACGTATTGGACGGTATGTTTGATCTCCCTATCAATTTCATCTTTCGATTTTGATTTTATAATATTATCAAGTATCAAAAGTACACATGGCCCATCATATTAATAACATTTTTTTTAGTGTCGTAATTACTCAATAGTTGTTCTTTTTTTTTTTGTTTTAAATTTACCATTTCTATTTTTTATTTGATATTAAAAGAAAATTGTATTACTTTTTTTTGTTAAGTTTTGCTTAATTTTTGCTTCTTTTTCTTCTTATATTTTGCTTAAATATATATAAATAAAACAGCCACTTCCATCAAAATCGAAACTAGAGAAAATTTTGAAAGGCTAATTTTAAAGTATTTAAATCTATTATTTTTGATATTTAAGAAATAACCAAAAAAAAATGCACTTCTAAGTTTTTCAATGATTACATCGCCGCTTTCAGAATTATATGAATCTAGTTATAAGATTAGAACATACACAAATACGCAACCAGTAGAAGACATTTATTCGGATTGCAACTTTCTAGAAAAAACCGTAAAATATATTTTTTATAAAAAAAAAATTTAACGAAAAGTTACGATAGAAAGACAGAACCATGCACAAGTGGAAAAAGAATTTATTGGAATTGTTATTATTATTAGATTATTTGTTTGTTATTTTTTCCTATATTCTTACGTTTTGCTAAAAAAAAATTTAGATTTTGCTAATTAATGGTCAACCTTTATAAAATATATCAATAATTCATGCTCTTTGTTTCACTTTATTTCAAAGAAGCATCTTCATCAGATTTACTCTCTAACAATACCTCACTTTCTCTAGACGACACCATTGTTTCTCGGGGTAACGTGTTTGAACTGGGTATCTATAAACAAAGTTATCTCCCCTACATTGCCATATGGTATAAAAATTACCCTAAAGCTATAGTTTGGTTGGCTAATAAAGTATCTCGTTTTGAAAATAGTATAAATTCTTTGTTCATATAAAAATATCAAACGAAAGTTTAATTTTCTATGATAATTACACGGACTAGACAATCTAGTCCACTGGCCTTCCTTCTAATGGAAGCAGAAGAGGTAGCCGCAAGTTCAAGCAATTCTTCTCTAAAATGGCAACCTTGTACTAAGAGACTCACTTAACATCATATTGTGGCAGAGCTTCGACCACCCTTTAAACACCTGGCTCCCGACGCTAAGATATGGTTGAACACACGTTTCACCAGTTGGAAAAGTAGAACAGATCCATTAGCGAGTCAATATACTCTCAATATTGACCCTAGCAATGTTAGAAACAGAGATGATAGAATAGAGGTGAGATACCACATTGTTAGAAACAGATGTGTCGAACAGAGAACAAGAACAGTTTTGCTTAATGACACTTTATTCTCTCAATTTCAGATATCTCTGATTTGTCTCTAATAATTTTCTCAGAAATCAGACTACATGCTTATATAGAAGAAAAAAAATGTAATTGCACCCATTAAACCCATGGATTCATTTATGTCCGACATTAATTCTTGTTTACCCCCAAATTAAATAGAAAACCAAAACTGGCAAATGTCTTAACATCCCCCATTTATTCTTGTTTGAATCACATTTCAACAAGCAAAATAAATTCTCTCCTCATGGTTTGGAATGATTCTTTAGACGAAAACGAGTTGATATACTCTCAATATTGACCCTAGCACAAGAAATTCCCTCCTCATGGTTTCATTCTAAACATGCGGTTTCTTCATTGCATGTAAATGCTGCATAATCTGGAAAAAAAAAATAGTCTTAGAAGAAGAATGCACTTAATAGTTTTATGAAAATTCAACATGAGGCAAACAATCTTTCCAAGTTTTCAAGTTCTTATTAATCAATGCCCGCAAAAGAGTAGATACGGTTCTATTAACTACTTTCGTTTGTCCATCAGTTTGAGGGTGACATGTAGTAGAGAATAGGAGTTTAGTTCCTAGTTTAGACTATAGACTTTTTCAAAGCAACTTAGAAACTTAGTGTCCCTGTCTGGAAACTATAGTCCTAGGCATGCCATTCAAATGGACTACTTCTTTAAAGAACAGATTAGCAATGTGCAATGCACCATTAGTTTTGTGACAAATAATGAAATGTGCCATTTTAGAGATGGAATCCTTACCAGTTTTTGTCCTAGGCAATCCAACCATAAAATCCATAAATATATCATTCCATAGGGATAGATAAAGAAAGTGATCTCATAAATCTAAGGTTCAACCCCATTGGCCACACATGAGAAGGATGCTGAAAGAATTTGAGACAGATGTGTTACTTGCATTAGTAACCACTTAATCAGTACTATTATTTATTTTTTGGTAAAAAATCAAGGGTTGGTATTTATACACGTTACAGTAATGAATCGTGTTTTCAAATTCAGCATGTAGTTAAACTAGTTTACATTTCAATTTAACCGCGACTTGATACTTTTCTTTTTTGATAGTCAACTCAACTATACATGTTAATTCTTTAACTAAAATTGTTGTATGTTTGCGGAAGCGAAGGTAGGCTGGCCTGAATTGCTTCCTTACGTCCACTTCTTCTCTCATAGATGTTACTGGTTTCCAGTTTCCACTCTAGTGATAGTGACCATGTTATGCTCAAATCAGCATCCATATTTGGGGATCGGAATTGATCGTATTACGTGAATAGTTGGCGGTTTGTTCTTGCTTATCTTATATCACATATATTTGTTACCTAGTAATGTTTTCGCCATTTTGGTTTACTTAATTCAGGAAAGAAAAAAAATAGGATATCGAAAGAAATCACTAGAGTCTTGGCACAAAACTATCCCGAGACGCCCAGTTCATATGGTTTGAAAGTTGAAACATGACTAGCAATATCAAGGATTTCTGGCACAACTGTGTTTGTGGCTAACCCAACTTTTGGTAACATCTCAAACCTCATTGTTAAGCTCTTTAAGTATCCAATGTGTTTGAAACAATGAACAAATTAAATTGCAATGTTGAGGGGGTACAGTTGATTAGACATACCTTGTAGTTTCTGAAGATGATTGGCTAGGAAAATATGGCAACATGTTTTTCTGGAAAGACAAGTCAACATGGAAGACGAGCATTTCTATTTCAATTTTCATCGATCTTTCTTTTATGCCTTAATTGTTAACAAAAATGTCTTGGCACACCAATTGGGTCTCCAGATCGACCACACACCTGTGATGAAAACCTAAACGTGAATGCGAATGCGAATGCTGCTTTAAATCCGCCGATACTTTAAGCCTCGACATCTCCTATTTCATATGCTCTTGGCTTTCTTTCTAGCTCCCGTATCTTCTTCAGCAGCTCCTCAGTGTTGTTTTGTTTTTATTTTAGTTAGTCAAAAATTGTAATTTGGGAATGCCGGAATGGTAAGTAGTGTTTTTGTATCTAGTTAGAGGACGATAGAGGGTTACGAGAGTAAAAGAGCCTATAAAAAAAGTGTCCACTTGACACAAAGTGAGTCAAAGTGTGAAACAACACTTTCAAAAGTGTCTGAATGTACATAAACCAACTATAAATGGGGATTAGATAGCTGGATATTTACTTAAAGAGTACCCACACATGCTTTTTGTGTCTTTCTACAAGATACAAGGATAGATTACAGCAGGAACGTAACCCAGTAACAACTCGGAAACAACCGATATCTAAAAGTCGTTAGCTTTCCTTCGCAGTTCGTTTAATTCATTCTCAATCTCCGAGTCTTTGAAAGGGTATCTCGTGCTTGCTGCAACGGTGCTTCTCCCTGGAGGAAGCTCTCCTTTCTGCTCCATATCATATAAACAGAGGATAACTATGAGATGTATGTTTTACAAACTCAAACTCAGAGTGATATAAAATGTTAGTAGCAAAGTAGGATATACTTAAACATGAGACAAAGTAAGGTAAACATGGAAGTAATTTGAGGAGTTTGAATTGTTGATTTCAGTATCGTAGCAGTTCATAGGAACCATCCCAACTTGCTGAACCCCTCTGTCTTTTCAGACGGTAATTTGCAATATGGTAGCTTGTGGACATGATATTTTGGTGAGTGATGAGATTATAAACTCCAAGGAACTAATATGATAATCGACGTTTAACAAACCTTTGAGCTTCCGGACAATTCTTTCTTCAAGTTTGCAAGATCATCATCCACAGATGAAGTTTCAAGCATTTGAAACTGCAAATCACAAAGAAATACACGTTAATGTCAAGATGGTTGTATATATACAAGTTCTTCTCCTACCAACAAACATACAATAAACCAGATTGACCATCGTCTCAGTCATAGAAGATATTAGATGAAGCAGCGAATTTACCTCTGAAACCAGTTTAAAGGAGAAAGTTTATCCTCATCGTAGATATACTAAGACAAGAGATAGAAAACCAACCTTCCCCTCGAGTTCATCGGTTCCAATCTGAGTGAGTGCATCTGCTTCAGACTCCATAGCCATCACTGTCAAGCACTTTCTAGATTTTAGTCTCTACCAGAATGAGCATACGTCAACAAGCAGAATGTAAAGTCTTTCACAACGAAAAATTCCAACTTCAGAATTCTGATACTAGCAACTCAGAGATTTACAGAAAGAAAAAGAGGGGTATATCTGCACAGACTAACATTAATCAACCAGAACCTAACCGAATTGCTAGAAATAGCAAAAAATGGTTATCCAGTTTCATCAGTCTCTTGTACCTAAACAAGAAAGGATTCCACCAAGTTTATCCTTTACTCCGACGTCACATTGCACACATTATACTACTGTTCTATTGTTTTGCATGAGGTAACTACAACACTAATTCCACATTCACGTTGCCCAGAATCTGAGCACTATTTCTCATGTAACCCCATCGCTTAGGTGGCAAGTAGTACAAGCTAACAGAGAGAAAGTAGTGGACTCTCAACTCACTTTCAATGACTGAACGGTAATCCTAACTACAGGCCAAACTTCAAATTAGAAAGGAATAATAGGAATAATTGCTATTGGTTACATATAGACAAGTTTTTATAAGTTTTGATCAAGTTGGAGGATCAAGAGATCATACCTTTCTCCTCCATTTTCTCAAAAGCTGAAAGAGCACCGCTTGTATTTACTGTCCCTATCATCTCTTGCACTTTGGTTGCAGTCCTAGCAGGAATTTTAAAAAAAAAATAGAGTCGGCACAATATATAAATCGAGAAGAAACACTCTGTATGGACGAGCTTCTCATAAAAGATGTAAAGCAGAAGAATAGGGAAATGATACAAACTTAGCAGTGCGAGCACGTGCAAGGAGCGTATCTTTCTTTGCTTTTGCCTCTTGTATTTTACTCTCCAAGAGCTGCAAAGAAAAGGGGTAACAACAAAAATTTTACAAAACATAATTTTCTAATAACCAAACTTTGCCCTAAGCAATTTCAGAAAATATAAGAATCATGTGCTATGGAAATGGAAGAATTCTGAAAATACAGATAAATAATCTAAAATATCTTCTACTACATTATGTCCATAGAGATACAATAGCTCCTTAGTACAAAACGTGAAGAGAGATACTTAGCATATGAATTTTATGACGGAGGTATTTAACTATGGTACTATCTCTAAACCATTCAAATATTATGGTGGCATGACGAAAATTATGTATACATGATTCTTTGTTTTATTGAGTAATACCGTGACGATAAAGTCATTTGATCATAGCTCTAAAGAATCCAACAGTTTATAGTAAATCAAAATACAAAATATATAGATAAAAATGGTGAAAACTAACCCTTGTATTTGAAACAAGATTGTCGACAACACCTTTTTGCTGATCTAGTTGAGTTTTCAGAGCACTAGCGTTGTCCTGTTAAGAAAAAAAGGTACTAACTTCAAAACCAAAAGTTCTAGATTTTTTTGTAATGTAACTTTAAAAAGTTAGACAATGCATGTATTCAAGAGACTTCAATAGTTGATAAGGTATCAGCAGGCAAAAAATAACGATAATGTTCCTGCCTTGAATTCGTTAGCCACTTGCAAAGGTTACACAAAATACATAATCAACAAAACTGAAAAAGAGCCATACGGTCCGTTGCTCAAACCAAAGCACATCAGAGATGATAGCTGTTTCCGCAGTGCTACATATAACCAAATTTTAATTTTTCTGATACTGAAAGACAATAGTCAACATCCTAATATGTAGAAACACAAGAAGAATCGTTTTTGGCTGCATCTGTAGTGTTATATATATCCAAAATCTCTTTTGTTCTAACACTGCAACCACCTTAACAAACAATATATTTCAAAAGAATACTCGTCATTATAAACACTGCCAAGCTCTATTGCATCTAAATATGATTGGACAAGGGGGCAAGTCCTGAGGAGAATTACAGAATACTTAGATATTTAAATGTTTCCTTATTACTTTCACCACCTCCTAACTAAACCTTGCAGAAAACCAAGAGATCAGCCACAAAACGCTCGAAGAGCCAAACGATTAGGTTCTTTCATTTGTTGGAGTAAGCACACTTAAGAACCAGAAAACAGGTGAACAAGAGAATGGATAGATATAACCTACAGCAAAAGACTTTCGTCGTTTAAGGGCCTCACGTGCAAGATCCTCATCTCCTTTTGCAAGAGCAAGTTGTGCCCTTTTGTACCTATTCAAGCATGTAACATGTAAGAATAATCAGTTATGTGAAGAATTAAGTAAGAAAGAACGGATCCAAGCTAACAAACATACCAATCATCAGAAGCCTGCTGTGCAGCTTTATATTTGTTCTGCAACTGCTTTTGTGATGCTAAAACCTTCAGACACGTTGGTAATACACAAGTTAGCTAATCTCATAAATAAAGTCAAACCATGCTCTATTAAAAAGATGAAGAAGAAAAACATCAAATAGGGACGTGTAAAAAGTTTTTTTTTTTTATAGTAAGAATTGTACCTGTGCAGTGGCTTGTCGCATCTTTGTCAAATCACTATTCATTTCAATGACAGTTTGCTCCAGGATTTTCTCCGGGTCTTCGAAGGAGCTTATGAGCGCATTTGCATATGACTTTGCTTATTGAAATGAAAAATAAACAAGAGAACTGATTAATGAACTCCAATGCATTATGACAGTCAGATACAGAATCAGAAAGGTTAAAAGTACCTTGACCACTCTAGAAAATCGTTCAAAAAGATTCATCGTAGCACCATGACCATTGCACTTGAGTCTATTTGCACAAGCTAATCTCAGCACATTCACTCTCAGCGCTCCACCTTATATAAGAAAAAAACAATAAGCATACTGACTACAAACAAACAACATAACTACAAACCAAGAGAACTAAATGTTAGATAAGTGAAACACTCAAAGCATACTTAGATACTGACTGAGAATAAGACCATGTCCTGCATTTCCAACTTGAGTCCTTAAGAGTATTTGAAAGCATGAAAAACCTTATTTATCTCTTTTTTTCCTAGTTACTAAATCTAGAAACACAAATTCAAAAACCAAAAATCACGATCAATACCCAAATTCACTTCCGTTTCAGGGAAAATTCTAGATAGCTGCATATATTTTCTTCCGAGGAATTCAAATAATGAGCAAGCCTAATCAAAGGAAGATAAACCAAAACCTAAAGCGAATTAGAGAAGAAGAAGACGCACTGGAGTTACCGAAGAAGGATGGTCTGAGGGGGAGAACCCTGAGGGAACAAGGGCGATTAGAAGTCGAAGGGGAAGAAGAAGCAGTAGGACGGAGAGGAGGGAATAATCCGGCAACTGGTGAAGCTTTGAGAGCCATTTCAATGGCGTAAGGAACTGTTCCGATTTCGACTCTTCTCCTTCTCTCGTTTTCGCTTTTGGTTGATTGGAAGATGTTTGTGGTCTCGGAGCTACTCGGATGTTGTTCCGATTTTTTTTTTCTTTTCTTATCCTACGTCGTTTTGGTCAAAGAAATACATTTACAATCTCACAAAAAAAAAACACATAGAATGACAGCGGATCCATAAGCCAATCGTGGAGAGGAGGGCAAGTGTAACGCCCGTCTCCCATGTATTCTAGGTGGTACCAAGGATACCTTGCCGAATATAGGGTTGAGTGTACTTGAGTAGATCCGAGGGTGATCGAAGATCGATCAAGAACTGATCGAGGATTCCTCGGAGTGATCGACGGGTCCTCGTATTACCAAGAGAATTACCAAGTGGTTGAGTTAGACTCTGGTATTTTCGGATCGGATGAGCGGTTATTCCGATGTTCCGGGTTTCTTTGGAAGAGTTAGTCGAGAAACTAGCGAACGGTTATCGGCATGTTCGATAGTCTGCATGAGTTGATCGAGTGGGAAACGGCTATTCGGCGGCTACCGTGTATGCGCGTGTAAAGAAAATCATCTACATGAAATTTATTTTTTTTGTCTCAAAGGATATTTTATTTAAAATTGGAAATAAAAATTACACAAAGCAAACAAAAGTGACTCTACCCTTCCATAGATATAGCCTGCAAGGGTCGAAACGACAAAACCGGCAAATTTGAGAAAGAATTGTGGAAGATAGAGCTAGAGAAACCGGCGAATTATGTGTTTTTGGGGGAGATTTATATGAGAGGGCAAAGACGAGAAGAGGATGAGAGATTTAGAATGGAGGTGAAGAGAGAGGAGTGAAGGTTTCACTTGGTAGTAAGTAATTGGTGTTTGTTCAAAGATTGACATATTCTCATACTTATGAAATTGTTGTAAGCTCATACACATTTTAAAATGACAATCATAATAATTCACTAATATTCTTTGATTCTTAATAGGGTGAATTAAAAATATATACCTGGACGACCAAATAATTAAGAATCTATACATGAAGACCGTTTATTTAGGTGGCTTTTTTTTTTGCAAAATCAATATGACGAAAATACCCCTACACTACTGAAAAATTGTTACTGTTAAATATTTATGATTTAGTGTATAACTGTATGGTTAACATGCTAAAACATATGATATCGCAATAAGTTTATATATTATGTGTTAAATACATGTTTATCTATTTAAATTTGTGAATCAATGTTTTATATTTATGTAAATATCAGTTTAATAAAAAAGAATTAGTCTTTTTCTTACACGATCAACATGATAACAATTATGATAACATGTTATATAAAATGATAACGTGCTAACATATTAAATATTCGAATAACATTTGTTTGAACATAGTAATATTTATATTAATGTGTAACCAAGAGCTGACATTCTACTTGATCGCCTCATCCATGGCTTCTTCGCCTCATCCATGGCTTCTTCCACACCTCTCACAAAATGCTTCGAAACAGTCTGCTGCGATTTCTCCTCTAAATTTGGTTCGAGAGGAATAAGCTCAGCAGAATCAAACCAACCATAACTACTACCTCCGAAAAACGCAACAAGAACATGATCAATCCTCCTCATACGACGAACATAAGGAGACACAAAATTTTCATTAAATATATGACCAGGTCACCAAGGAGGAGACTTTACCTTACCCAAACCAAATCTCCAACTTCAAACCCATAACTCAATGCCCTTGAAACTCCATGACCCATTTTCTCACTCGCAACATAATCATCAAACTCATATAAGAGAGATTTGTAATTAGAAACTCCTCGTTTCTCTTCCTTCAACTCCAAATCCAATTCTTTCTCATCAGTTTCAGAACCAAGCTCACTAGATTGATCCTCAGAGCAATCATCATCTTCTTCTTCTTCTTTAAGCTTAGAAGTCTCATCATCTTTATCAATTGAAATATCTTTGTTTTTAATCTCAGATTTCGTTTCACTCATTATCATCTTCTTCCTCACTCCCTACGACACCATTTTTCTCCGATCTCTCACTTTCATAAACTCTAGCAACGCCATCGTCATTTGTAACCGTCGAATCGAGCTCCATAGGTGAAGAACCTCCAGCGTCATCATTCATCTTCAGTAGCTTCAATAGAATTTTTGATTTTTCCCCAAATTTGTTTTCTCTGGTCATAAATTAGATTTGCTAAAGGAATAGGGGTAAAAGAGTCAACAACACAGCTACAGTAATGGCAAACAGTAACAAATATGTGTCAGTTAATTTCATGATCTTCTGAGTATAGATCTTGCAAATACCCTTCTTAATATGCAAAATACAACTCCAAAAGAAGTTTTACATATTGTGTCCATGGGCTAAAATGCTTTCACTATTTGCGGAATCAAAACAATTTAGATATCAAGTGGTAACCATACGAAAAATATGTAAATAATACCCACACAAAAAGTGTGGGTATTGTACTATTGTGTGATATTTTGTACTGGCTTTCAATATTTTTGTAACCAAAAAAAAAAAACACTATTTACTATTTAGACTTACAAATGGTAAGTGGTAACCATACAACAACTACGATAATAAGAAGAACAAGAACATCATCGTTGATTGGAATTTGATTTTCTCTCATCAAGAACTGCCATGGGTCATGCATGTTTAATGTTGGCTTTGACTTTTGTATTTAACTCACTTATCATGCCATGTTACTACTAAACCAGTCCAATTCAATTGTCATTTCAAAAATTGGACCAATCAATTTTGTCGTATCACGAACTTAAAACAAAGTCCAGAAAACAAATCTTGCAATCAGGAGGTCAATTTGATCGACTCATGTTATAATCATACCTTGAGCCTCCCGCCCGTATTCTCGACAAGGGTTATCATCTCTGGAAGTGGCTCAATGATTTCGATAGCTGCAATTTCATGTTTCACTTTACTATAGATATGAATGTCACCTTTGAACCTATGATGTTTAGTGAGATAGAGGCCCCAAATCCACCAAACAATCATGGAATTCACAGTTCAATATTGATCGCATTGTTCATATGTAATTGCTGGAATTTGCAAACTTACAACAATTAACCCTGTTTCCCAACTCACTATGTAAACTTTAGAATTGTTATTGTATTATTGACTTGGGAGACTTAACCTTTATATACACGAGTAGACATCAATATATTATCAATACAAGATTCACATATATCATAAAATCTCTTGATAACATTAACAAAAACAGACGGATCGACTAAAACCCAAACACAAACACATACACAAGCTCTAAGGGTAGGATCTGACAATAGAATTAAAAGTAACGTAGCACTATGATGGATTTCCGTTAACCCAGAGATTAAGAACAACTTCGATACTCAATTAGCTAAGATCTGATCGATTACCAAAGTATTAATCAATCCGAAATAAGAGATACAATTGTGAACTCTCACTCGCAAACGATTACAAAGAGATAAATATAGATCTCTCTTTTAGCACATCGCTAGACCAAAGTCTCACAATGAACTCACAATTGTTTATTAATACAACAAAAAAATTACGTAAAGGTAAACAAAATGAAACTTGATAATGTTGAAATACGAACATGAATCGAACTTATTTTCAGTACATTCTTCGATTTTTTACTGGAAAAAAAAAAAAAAACCAGCTCAAACATAACCCATTGAAACATCTCGTGAAATACCTGGCAGGCACTTGTTTGCACTTAGCAATGCCTTTGTGTGTTTTAAGTCTGGTTTGAGAGGACGACTGAGGAAGAAATGTCTTGGGGATAATCGAAATCGGTTTCACCTGAAGGAGAAGAAGAGTCGTTTATAAGAGATGTTTGGATCTTCTTTAGTTCTTTGGCCACTTCCTATAAATATAAACTTTTATGATTTCTATCATGAAATCTAATTCCCAAGATCATCTAGATTCAATTTAATTCAACCACACACTTTCTTGTAGAAGAAGAAAGACTAACCTTGATCCATTGCTTAATTAGGCTTGTAATGGAATCAATTCACTAATTGATTTCTTCTCCCCTTAATCCTTTTTCCTTCACCTGATCTTTGATGGAGAAGATCACTAATCCTTTGATGATGTATTCCTTTCAGTTATTGTTCTGTTTTTGTGTCTCTAGAAACGAGAACAAAAACGTAACCTTTTACGTTTTAACACCACACATATATATACATGTATATAGCATCTTTTAAAGGGTTGTATTGGTTCGTAATAACCATCACTTTTATAATACATGAGCATAACATATACATGTATATATATTACTTATTAAATATAATTAAGGCAAGGGAAGAGGGTTATCAATACACCCAAATTCTAATTCTTTAATCGAAACCGATCCATCACGGTATCGTCTTTAATATTAGAATTCTTAACTTAATATAAACTTGAACTTTATAATTAAACCGAAAGACACATAGGCCACATAGAATGAAATATTCTTACACTTCCACCATCGTTGGAACTTGTTCACTAGGACTGATGCATCTCAGTGATAGCATCAAGAAAGCATTCATTTGACAAAGCTCTTGTTCTGAAATTTGACCCATCTTTTCTATCATCTTTGGATCTGCAATCTCATCCATTTGTCGGTCTTCCTTTAATTTTGACCGCCAATTTTGAAGACGTCTTCTCATCTTACTTTCAAATTCATAATCAGTACTATAATCTTCACCTTCACTTTCTTCTAGATTAAACTCCAAAAAGTTTTCTTCTCCGGTTAGAAGCTTTATTATCATAAACATTCCAAAGGCAATTACATCTGTTTTCTCTGAGACTACGCCACTGCGAATATAATTATCGTCCAAGTAACAATAGAATCCCAATGCAGTGTCAACCCGGACAAATGTTTCCCTTTCTGGGATTGACACGCAGTAAGAGAAATCAATCAGCTTAGCGACGCCATCTTCATCCAATAATATATTCATATGAGACAAATTCGTATATACGAAGGGCCTAGGGAACGCAGTGTGAAGGTAAGCTAAAGCAGTAGCCATATCTTCAGCTATCTTCATTCTCCTTTTCCATTGTCTGTTCACTTATTTTTAATCGATAGTGTTTCTTTACACCATGATAAACCATGACTGCCTCTTCAGACTCAAGACAACATCCAACTAATTTCAAAAAGTTTTTGTGACCACTCACCATCGATGAAACTGCTATGTCGCGGCACAAAGGATCTACTCTGAAGGCAAGATCTTTCTTGATGAGTATCATGGGATGGTTCTTGTACTTACCTGAATACCATTCGTAGCAATAATTGAATCGAGAAACAAGATTAGAGTCGCTGAAATTGTTGGTGGCTTTGAGGATCTCATCAGCATAGAAGAATTTGATGGGATAGGATTTGCCATGGCCTAATTCGATGAGATCTTTAAACAACTTGCCTCCTCTCTCCATTATTAGCTTATTATTCCTCTTCATCAACCACCAACACATCTTTACACCTAAATTATTTTTTCTATTGACCTCACTGTTCAGAATTGATCTTTTGATTGTCCCTGCAAAAGGAAGAGACAACATATTGAGGGAGATATGGACCTATTGTGTAATTAGTAAATTGTCTAGGTGTAATTAGATAATGGGTAAATTGCATGGCAGGGCATAAGACCATCTTTTAATTTCATGTTTTGGCAAAGTGAGAATTGGTTTTCAAGTTTTGACAATTTAGCCAAAATCTGACCATTTTACCCCTGCCAGCGTAACGATGTACTATTCACTGTACGGTTCAGTTATGCGGTTCAGTTACGTACACTATTCCGGTTCAGTTATGCGGTTCAGTTACGTACACTGTACGGTTCAGTTATGCGGTTCAGTTACGTACACTGTACTGTTCACTGTACGGTTCAGTTATACGGTTCCAATGTACGTACACTACAGAATGTGTACAAGATACATGCTGCGAAAGTAACACAGATACCAATATTAATGGTATAGACTAAGTCACTAGGGATGATGTTATCGACCGTGGTATTGGAGCTTCCGCAAGTGGGACACTAAATGATAATCGGCTAGTTACCGTACCTGGCGGAGATAACATTTCTCATTCGGGTGACCGTACACCAACCGTGACTCCAACACGTACGTGTCAACATGGTTTCTACCAATGTACGTATACTACAGAATGTGTACAAGATACAGACTGCGAAGGTAACACGGATACCAATATTAATGGTATAGACGAAGTCACTGGGGATGATGTTATTGGACCTTCCGCAAGTGGGACACTGAATGATAATCGGCTAGTTACCGCAGCTGAGGCTTACGAAGTGTATAATGGCTTTTCTTCATTACATGGTGGCGAGTTGGAGATTCTCGATAATGATGCTGCTCCGGTATTCGATGATTTAGCCAAACTTACTTTCGGAGTTTCGGTCAGTGCAATATTGTTGTCGCACTCGTCTTCTGGCGTTTAACCGACAGAGCTAATCCGAAGATTGTGAGTAATGGTCCTGTCTCGAAGATGTTTGCTGATCCGGACACACCGGAAGTGGAAGAGATCAAGATGGTCGTTTTTTAGTTAGACGGATTTTTTATCCCCTGTCTTATTATTATTTAATACTACAATTACATTAAGTATTGTTTATTAAACTACATAAAGTTGTTGTTATTTTTAAATTACTTCACTATGATTAATAAACTATTGGAAACATGTACGTACATTTTTACGTATACTTCTATTATCTTGCCTCTGTACTGTGTTACTAGTATTTGCTAGGTGTACGTACAGTTATACGCCATTATTAAAATATATTGGATGTGTACGTTTTACTAGTTTGATAGGCCATTTACGTAATATTTGTCATACGCTATGTACGTATTTCGTGTACATACACCAGAGATAAAGTGTTTAATACTTGTGAAATATGCTAAGTTCTCGTACTAGTTGAATCGGCTATGTACAAAACCAGTGTACGTACACAAAACCATATGTATTTCAAACTCGTTGTCTCCGTACACAAAAAGTTTTTTTATTCATAATATGACTGCCCGAAAAAGGGAATACAATGCATAAAGACAAACAGAGTAGAGTAGATTGCGAGGAAATAAACTAAAGAGTAGAGCCGAAGCATACACATGAGGCGGAAAATATTATCCTTCATCCGTGATAGCAATGTCAAATCTAGTAGAAGATACACATCTCCCTCGCGTACCAATAGAACAAACACCCTCTACAGCATTGACCGTACGTGCAGTTGCCAACACAAGCCGGGGTGTGGACAAACCGCCACCCACGTTGCCAGAGACGAGGTCCTTCGGTGTGAAGCTGGGATATGTGAATTCATGGCGGCGAGAGAAAGTCGACGGTCACAAGGAGAGAGAAGAACAGTTTGGTTTAAGAAGAAAGAAGGACGAGAAGAGAATGTGATTCCGAATGTGAATCCGTCGGATCTTTGGATTCTGGTGTCGGAGCATGGGGAATAGATATTGTTGGTGTTACTTCCTCCGCCGTCTCCGCCTATGGCTACGGTTTTGTGGAAACTGGTGATGGTTAGTGTCACGGCGGAGAAGACGAGGAGTGTTAGGGTTTTCGAAAGGAACATTTTTTTTTTGAAATTGTTATGGAAATGGTTTGGGGAAGGCAGAGAGAGTGTGAAGCTAAGCTGCATGGAATCGGAAGCGGGTACGCGGAAGCCGAAGCGTTTGGAAGCGCCGAAGCGAAATTTTTTAAAAAATTAAGAAGCGGGTACGTGTTGGAAGCGTGTAATATATATATATATATATATATATATATATACCAAACATAAAATCATATTAGAAAATATTAGATTACAATCATGATAGAAAATAATATTAGAATAAATTAGTTGAAAACTAAATTTTAAAACCTTAAAATTAGACATAAATAGCAAAGAAGAAATTCTATGGGGTTTTATAAAATTAGGCTTATATAACGTTACAATCGACAGTTATACCAAGTCTTGTTGTAGTGTAGTGGCATGGACAGTTTTAATATTCTCTCTGGTCAAGTGTTCGAGCCTTGGCATCTTCCAAAATTATTATTTTTACTTAAAAGAAGAAAGGGTAAATGTGTAATTTCCTTGAGGAGTCATCTTCTTCCTCTAGAAGCCCTAATCGCCGTCTCTTCCTTCTGTATTTTTTTCCTTTTTTTTTT